TTCAAGTACTGATAATAGTGAGAGTGTCTCTGAATCAAATAATGATGCTCTTAGCTCTATTGGTGCGTGTTATACTGCTACAAAATTAAATAAATCTGTTGTATGTAATGTTGCTGAAGAATTGAATAAAGTTGTTGTAGTTTCTGTTTCAAGTACTGATAATAGTGAGAATGTCTCTAAATCAAATAATGAGGTTCTTAGCTCTACTGGTGCGTGTTATACTGCTACAAAATTAAATAAATCTACAAGTGTAGACTTATTTTTGCTATGGCATGCAAGGTTAGGACACCCCAATAGTTGAACTCTTCATGTTGTGCTAGACAAATTGGATGTAAAACAACAGTTACAATGCAATAAAAGTTTTTTTTGTGAGGCTTGTCAGTATGGAAAACTGCAACAATGTCATTTTCCTGCATCTTCTTCCAAAGCAACAATCCCTTTAGAGTTGATTCACTCTGATCTATGGGGACCAGCTCTTACCATATCCAAAGAAGGCTATAAATACTATATTATCTTTGTTGATGACTATAGTCGTTTTACATGGATATATCATTTAAAACTCAAGTCTGAAGCTTACACAGCCTTTGTCCAATTTTATTGTTGTATAGAGAAGCAATTAACACAAAATAAAGGCACTGCAGACTGATTGGGGAGGTGAATTCAGAGCTTTTACTAGTTATCTTCAACATCATGGAATCCTATTTAGACATCCTTGCCCATATCTCCAACAGCAAAATGGAAGGGTGAAGAGAAAGCATAGATCTATCACCGAATTTGGTCTCTCACTCTTGGCTCATGTTGGGATGCCATTAACTTACTGGTGGGCTGCTTTTAGTACATCCACCTATCTTCTCAATAGACTACCAACATCAGTCCTTGATTTTGATCTCCATATGTTGTTTTGTTCAATAAAGAGCCTGACTATAGTGAACTCAAAGTGTTTGGTTGCAATTGTTACCCTTATCTCAGGCCCTATAATAAGCACAAATTTGCTTTTCACATAGAAAAATGTGTTTTTCTTGGTTATAGCCTCACTCACAAAGGATACTTATGCCTAAACTCAAAGGGTCGAATTTATATTGTCAAGCAAGTGAGATTTAATGAGCTTGATTTCCCTTTCAAAAGTGGCTTTACTTCTGTGAATGTGACACTGGCAGAAAGCGAGTCTATGGTTGTAAGTTCATCTTCTTCATCCTGGAGACTTCCACTAAATTCAGCAGGTTTGTCTGAGTTGCCAATGGCCTCTCATGAGGTGTCAAGAGATTTTCCCAGATCTGCTATTCTTCCTACTTGTTCTCATGATCAACCAGTTGACTTACCTAAAGTACCAGTGGTCTCACATGAGTTGTCAGGTTCCAATCCAACAGGTGATTCCTCAGAGTATAATGACACTTCTACTTTACACTCTTCAGCAGCTAATGTCTAGTCTATTGAAAACGCAGTTCAACATAATCTTAGAACACGTTTACAGGCAGTCCAATGAACTTCAGTGGGCTGCTGTAAATATTGACTAAGTTTATTTACAACAAATGCTAGGTCTGGCCTAGACAAAGTCAAGTATTGTAACCCCCCTACAATGCTTCTATATAGACTCTTGGACTGGACTATTTTGACACCTTCTCCCCAGTGGTTAAAGCAGCTACTATTAGGGTAATGATGTCCTTAGCAGTTCATCAAAGGTGGGATATTCAGTAGTTGGATGTGAATAACGCATTTCTATATGGTGAGCTAACAGAAAAAGTCTTCATGTTACCTCCGGAAGGGTACTCTGAGTTTGAATCACATAAACATAAGTCATAGCAAGTGTGCAGATTGCAAAAGGCATTATATGACCTTAAGCAAGCTCCTAGAGCTTGGTTTGATAAACTCAAATCTGTGCTGATCGGTTGGGGCTTTGTTAATTCAGTATCCGATATCAGTCTCTTCTTTTATAAACAAGGTTATACTATTATGTATTTACTTGTGTATGTCGACGACATATTGGTGACTGGAAATGATGATCATCTGATTTCTAAACTAATAGCAGATTTGAATGTTACATTTGCTCTGAAGATCTTGAGTTCAGTTCAATATTTCCTAGGCTTTGAAGTCAATCGAAATTCATTTGGTTTACTTCTTACACAGACCAAATATGCTCAAGATTTACTCACAAAGGCAGGGATGGCAAATTCTAAGCCTTTTTCTACACCAATGGCCACTGGTCTCAAACTTGGTTCAACAGATAGTAAAGTGTTTGATCAGCCTACTCTATATAGAAGCATTGTAGGGGGGGTTACAATATCTGACTTTGTCCAGGCTAGACCTAGCATTTGTTATAAATAAACTTAGTCAATATTTACAGCAGCCCACTGAAGTTCATTGGACTGCCTGTAAACGTGTTCTAAGATATGTGAAAGGAACTCTAACATATGGTATTCTTTTCACTAGGAAGAAGGTTTTTGCCTTGGAAGCATTTGCTGATGCAGATTGGGCTGAAGATGAAATGGATAGACGTTCCACCAGTGAGTATATTTTCTGTTTAGGAGGTAATCTTGTTCAGTGGTCTTCTAGGAAACAAAAAGTAGTTTCTTTATCCTCGACTGAGGTTGAGTATCGGTCACTTAGCCAGGCTGCCACTGAAGTAGTGTGGATTCAAAATTTGTTTAAGGAACTTGGCATTCAAATCAGTAACATTCTAGTGATTTGGTGTGATAATATGAGTGTTGGAGCACTCTCATCTAATCCTGTTTTTCATGCTCGGACAAAGCACATTGAAATTGATATGCACTTTGTCCGAGAGCTGGTTACAAGACGATTGTTGATGGTTCAATATATTGCTTTAGAATGTCAAATGGCAGATATATTAACCAAAGCACTTCCTAGTTCTCGATTTGCTATGCTCCGGAACAAGCTAAATGTTACAGATACTTTACCAAGTGATGACACTAGTGCTAATCTTGAAGTGTCTAAATGAAGAACTCTGAGATTGTAATAATTAACTGGGTTCATGAAAAAGGTGATATGACGAAAGTGTTACTCTGTTATTTTATGTTCAATTATCGGAAATGTAGTCTTGGCAGAATTAGGAGTGGAAAGCTTGAAGACTGTTTAGTGTACGGGAGGATAGTAGTTTAAGAAGTCAGCTTGGGATTGTTAGTTGGAAGTTGTTCATGAAAAGGTGATATGAAGGAAGTGTCACTAGTGTTACTTTGTTTTTTGTATTTTGTATTTATTGATTTCTTTTTTTGTGATCAAATGCTGGAAGTGTAGTATTGACAGAATTAAGAGTGGAAAGCTTGAAGACCGTTCAGTTTACGGGAGGATATTAGTATAAGAAGTTAGTTTGGTATTGGTAGTTAAAGGAAGGTCATTCAACTTACGGGAGGATATCAGTATAGAAGACAGCTTGTTGGAGTTTAGTATACTGATAGGATGTACGCAGGGTTGAGTTTGTAATGTTGGAAATATAGAAGGGTTGTGTTTGTAAAACAAAGTAAAAGGATAATAAAGAAACGATGACGTTTTTAGATTTGTGTAATATAATAGAATATCTGTTATATAAGTCATCGTTCTCCTATGTAACAAACTAACAAAAACATAATACACGTTCATGTGTTTCTGGTGAATTGTTAACCCATCTTTTTCTCTCTAGTTTATTTCTTGTTTTTCTAGATCTTTCTTGTTTCTTGATAAAAACCTTCATAATTAAATTTATTATTATATTATTTTTTAATATTGATTATTATAAGCCCCCTACATTTAACAACGTAGCAAAAACAATCCCATAATAAAAGTTTGGAAAATTAACAAAGTACCCCTACCAACCTAGCCATTGCCAGTCGCTGGCAACCATCGTAGGTTGCCGACAGTCGGCAACCTAACGGAGCACAGAAGGCAGGAAATGGTCTCCGTGCGCTGTATGGTAGAAATGGCCAAACGTGACAGATCTGGCCGTTGACGGTTAGATTTAACACAATTTGATCGGAAATGGCCATATTAGCGCACGACGGCCATTTTCGACCTTCCATGCGTCGTTCCAGTGGCTGACCGCGACGGTGGTTGTTGGCGGTAGGTGGGTGGGGGTGGTGGCTTGGGTAGGCTGCTATTTGTTTTGAATTCAAGGGTAATTTTGTCCAAAAAGTTAATTAATTGGGATGAAATAGTAAAAGTCATATTTATATAAATAAATTTAAAAATAAGGGCATTGTTATCCTGAAATTTTATTAATAAGGGATATAATTATAACAAAAAAAGATAACCTTGATAATATTAAAATATCTAAGAAAATGAAAATAATCAGATTACCTCCAATATTATCAATAATAATTATTATTGGTATTTACATATCCTATATAATGACTAAATATAATAATCAAATAATATAAACTTAACTCAATAATCCCACATTACCATGACTTTTGAAAAGAGATGGCTTGTTTTGTTTTCTTCTCTTAATCACAACAAAAAACCGGCGGCTATGGGGCGCACACAGACAACAACAAACAACAGTAGTATAACCATTGTCTTTCTTTGTGCTTACTCTTTTAAGTTTTAACACATAACATGCTAATCTTACTTTTCATATTATTATTTTAAAGACTTCACACTATCTTGATGTTATATGCAAAAATCTTTATCCAAACTATCTTCAACCCTCAACTGCAATTATAATATCAGTAATGTTAAACGACAAATTTTTTTTACAAAGATTTCTATGAATTTTACAAATTTTTTTATAATATACCCTCGTGGGCCTAAACGGTGGGGAAATGACATGTGACCCCTCAAGGTTCTTAAAAAGTAACAAATGGATACACAGATTTCGAGAAGCGTGTGCCTCAACGTTAAACATCTTGCAACTTGTTCACATCCATCTCCATCCACGTATTCATAGCTGCCCACAGTTTAATCAATCCTACCAACTAAAATTTCCTTGCTTTAGCTACTACACTCCTACTAGTCACCTTACAAAAACATAACCAGGACCTTCGGTTCTGAACTGTTTCGACTCGGTCAGTCTTTTCTTCATCTCATTTCTGCTACTGGGTATCATTTATTTCTATACAAAGTTTATTCTTTTTACTCAAAAATTCCTTCTTTTTGGTCCACTGATTTGGGATTTGGTACTGTGTGAATCTATCTCTTTTACTTGTAGATTGGATCTGTTTGTTTTGATTCTTCTTCTTTGTACCGAGATGTTGAGAGTGTCTATAGCTATGATTCTGTGTTTGGTATCTGTGAAAATTAAGTATTTAAAATGAAAATATGATGAGATTTGGTGGGTTGTTTTTCAAATTTTAAAGTTCCTGTTTCTGATTTGCAGGTATATCTGTAATTGGTTAAGTTAAATCATGGCGAACATAGACATAGAGGGAATCTTGAAGGGAGTTCCAGATGATGGGCGAGTTCCTAAAACCAAGATTGTTTGTACTCTGGGTCCCGCTTCACGTTCAGTCCCGATGCTTGAGAAGCTTTTGAAGGCTGGTATGAATGTTGCTCGTTTCAATTTCTCTCATGGTACTCATGAGTATCATCAGGAGACTTTGGACAATCTCAAAATTGCCATGCAGAACACCCAGATCCTTTGTGCCGTTATGCTTGACACCAAGGTCTCTCATTTCGTTACTTTTCTTCCCCTGTGTTAGCTTACCTGCTATTGTCTGTCCGTGTTGGTTCAATATTGTTTTTATTGAATTGGATAATGGACTATTTGTAGATATTGCAAAGGTGTGGGATGGAGGGATGAGCTGATGAGTTGCTTATTAGAAAACCAATTCAGCTACTGTTAATGTATGCAGATTGGTAAATGTGGCTGACATGGATAGTTGAAGTTTGGTTGATGAAGGCTTTATAATGAACTTTAAACAAATAATTTCACATAGTTTCCCTGATTTGTGAACTTGGTTGAATTAGTTTCCCTCTTAACGTCTCATGTACTAGATTTGCCTGCCTTTAGTACTTCTTAAACTTATCTTTGTTTTCCACCTGTGAAAGAGAAGGCTAAGCTTGAGCTAGGCTTATTAGATCATTGATAAGCTTGATGGCTTGCCTTTGAAAGAGAAGGAACATTCCCTTCGCTGTGCTTGCAGAATGTTACCTCTATATTTCATTGAAGTGTGGGTTGAGAGAAATATCAGAACTTTTTGAGTAGCACTCAATCATGGGGTTCAAAACTGGTATTTAGAGGAGTTTATTTTCTTGGAACTTCATCTCCATTAAATCTGGTTTTTCCATTTCTGCTTTGAATTTATTGGATGTGCTAGATTAAGTTGTTAGTTTTCTTTCCTTTTTGCCTTTTCCTATTTTGTTTGCTTGGTTCTCTCTTATACTTCCTAAGTGGCATTCTCCCCTCACCTCCTTCCTTCAAATTGAGTGTCTGTTAATTATTGATGTTGCATGAGGAGCTGTATAGAAACTTTGATTGTTTCGTTCACTAAACATACTGATAGTGCTTAGTACATAGTCCATTACCATTAATAATTGAGCGTTGCAAGATATTTGATTTATGAAGATGGTTGTGTAAATAGTACACACACACACACACACACGTTTTCTGCGTGAATTGGTGGGAAAGAAAATCTTAGTTGTAAAAAATAAATAAGTGGTGAAAGATATTTGATTTATGAAGATAGTTGTATAAAAAGTATATACACACTCTCTTGTTTTCTGCATGAATTGGCGGGTAAGAAGATCTTAGTTGTGAAAAATAATTGAATAGACAATGATACTTGTTACTTATATTGCTTGCCTACCCTGCTCTACATTTTAATTATCATCATCCCTTTTCTGCACAAATATTGCATATATCCTAGCTTTTCTTTTGGTGTGCTATAACTCAAAATGTGTGCTATCGAATATTTATATACAAAGTCTGCTTCAAGTCTTTATAACTAATTAGATTTGTCATCATTAACTATTCTAAGTGCATTTCATTTCCTCTATTGGTTATAGGGACCTGAGATCCGAACTGGTTTCCTAAAGGATGGAAAACCTATACAACTACAGGAAGGTCAGGAAATTATTGTAAGTACTGATTACACCATCAAGGGTAATGAGGAAACGATTTCCATGAGCTACAAAAAGCTGCCTGTTGATGTGAAGCCTGGAAATACCATCCTATGTGCAGATGGCACCATTACCCTTACTGTTTTGTCATGTGATCCAAATGCTGGAACTGTGAGGTGTCGTTGTGAGAACACTGCAATGCTAGGCGAGAGAAAAAATGTCAATCTTCCTGGTGTTGTGGTGGATCTGCCCACACTAACAGACAAGGATAAGGAAGATATCCTCCAATGGGGTGTTCCAAATAATATAGATATGATTGCTCTATCATTTGTCCGGAAGGGCTCAGATCTTGTCAACGTTCGTAAGGTCCTTGGGCCCCAAAACAAGCATATACAGTTAATGTCAAAGGTATGCTGTTTCTTAATATTTTTTAACATTCAGGTTGCTCATTTATTTAGCTAACATAGGCTAATAACATAGCTCCATGCATGGATGTGTTTATGTTTTGATTGGTATTATTTTTATCACTGCAATGAGGATTTAGGGCTTGGGGACTGCATATTGTTTGTGAGGGGTTGGTGCAATTATAACTTGAATTGACCTAGTAAAATGGTCTGTCAACCAAATGTATCTGATGATTATTGTGTTTATAAGATGCCCTTTCTTTTATTTGTTCCTTTTTTTTTGATAAGTACTTGGCAAATTATATTAAAGAAAAGAGAAATAGGTTCATTAGTGGACTAGAAATGCACATAATTATCAAAAAGTTGGAGATGGGGAAAATCTATACATGCGAGTGACTAAAACTCTTTCAACTTTTATTTTTTTCTTAATTCACATTTTACATGCTGACCTGAAAAGCCTGGTTTTTCGTTTTGAACCGGTTTTCCCTTTTTTCTTTTTTATAAAACTTATTTTTTTTTAATTTTTTCCTAAATTAAATTGTAAATATAAACAATATATATCCAAATAAAAATTAAACATTCATATATATCCATTGACCGCTACTAACAATACATTAAAAATTGATACAAATAAAAGCTCGAAATGAAATTATTTTTTTATTATATATATATATAAAACCGGTTCAAAAAACTGGTTTCGGTTAACCGTTTTTAATTTTTTCTCAAACCGGTAATCCAGTTTTTTGAATTTTTCGAACCGTAACCAAACCGTTTTTTCGGTTAACCGGTTTTCGGTTCGATTTTTGCATTTTTTTGAACACCCCTAGCCCCAAGCATGATAAGCTTTCTATTTAACAGCTTACTTTTGTTCCTTTAAAAGAAATCATTTTTGCTGATGTGACCACTTGTTTGGTAGCTCTGGTTTTTATGTTCATTTTCTGCTGTTGAATTTACTGTGTGATTCTCTATAGCAGGTGTTATCCTTTGGTGGTTAACTAATATTTAGTTTGATATTTGATTTTCCTAGGTTGAAAACCAGGAAGGAGTTATCAACTTTGATGAGATCTTGCGTGAAACTGACTCATTTATGGTTGCTCGAGGTGATCTTGGAATGGAGATTCCAGTTGAGAAGATTTTCTTGGCACAAAAGATGATGATATACAAGTGCAATCTTGTGGGCAAGCCTGTGGTCACTGCAACTCAGATGCTTGAGTCAATGATCAAATCTCCCCGGCCAACTCGTGCTGAAGCTACTGATGTTGCAAATGCAGTTCTTGATGGCACAGATTGTGTTATGCTTAGTGGTGAGAGTGCAGCTGGAGCATATCCAGAGATTGCTGTGAAGATCATGCGTCGAATTTGCATCGAGGCAGAATCCTCGCTTGACTATGCGGCTATCTTTAAAGAGATGATAAGATCAACTCCTCTACCTATGAGCCCATTGGAGAGTCTTGCGTCATCAGCTGTCAGAACAGCTAATAAGGCTAGAGCAAAACTCATTGTTGTGCTAACACGTGGTGGTACCACGGCCAAGTTGGTTGCCAAGTACAGACCGGCTGTTCCAATCCTATCTGTCGTTGTTCCAGTCGTGACAACTGATTCATTCGACTGGACCTGCAGTGATGAATCCCCAGCAAGGCATAGCCTGACATATAGGGGCTTGATTCCTATCCTGGCAGAAGGATCTGCAAAGGCCACTGATGCAGAATCTACTGAAGTGATTTTGGTAGCTGCTATGAAGTCAGCAACAGAGAAGGGATTGTGCAAGCCTGGTGATTCAATTGTGGCACTTCATCGTATTGGAGGAGCTTCTGTTATTAAGATCTGCGTAGTGAAATGAAGTGGACTATGCAAATACCTTGAATAGCTTCAAGAGGCAGTAAGGCCATGGATTTTATTATATGCTTTGGAAATCTCTTTATGCTTATGCTATGGTACCTTAGTAGTAGTGGAGGATTCAAATATTTCCTGTATGACCTGAGCTGTTTTACAGAGTACTCTTTTGATTATTTTGCCTTTTCCTATGTTTTTAACTAGCTAATGTTGTCGTACATTTTTATGTACGATTGTTACCTAAATAAAATCCAGGGTTTGTTTTTTTTTGTAGCATTTGTGGCTATGGTATTGCCTTTCAATAATACTGCATTGTTTTAAAATCCGGATCGGAGGACAGCCTGTTTTGTTGCTTGGGTCATGGGTCAATTTTATTTTTAAAAAATTACATATTAATCTTTTAAATTTTAATATATTAAAAAATTCCTCTAAAAAAGTTTAATTAAACCCTAAAATTTGTATTTATTTAAAAAAGGCCTCAAAAATTACTAATTAATTTTTAAACTTTTAACGTATCTCTAAAACATCCTTATAAAATTATAAAATAACCTTTATAATTTTGAAATGTTATAAAAAGCCCCTTAAAACCTGAACTAGACCAGAGAAGCTATCGGGCCGGTCTAGTTTTTAAAACAGAGAATAATAGTGCACTTATAAAGTAGAATAGTCCAGTTTTGTAACTCAAGGTTGATTTGTTGATGCCATATTAAAGATGAAATGAAGAGATAAACAATGTAATTATGTATAATCAGTTGATGCGTTTGCTAAGTAAACAAAGATGAGATGTTTACTTTGTAAGGGAAGCATTATTCATTGCTATTGCAATTATGTCTTTTGAATGATCGCAAACCTTGACAAATATTTAAAGGTTCAATTGACAAATCTAAAGACAGGGCTTTTTTGTCAAGAGGGATCTCTTTGACAAATCTAATAGTATTTTGTCAGGCTTTAATAAACGTGTGCCTAACGGCGAACATACAATATTAATAAGTGTTTGTATTTAATTAGTTTATAATATGATCTTTTATTTACTATTTATTTGCCTATGATCAGAATAAAGGAAATATAATAAACTGGAATATGCTTTGGGATAACACACATGGTTGACTAGTAAGAGAAAATAAATCTTGTTTTGCTCAAAAAGCTAATATATTAATTCAGAAAATTATAACCTTCCATATCCTGGGGCCCTTATGAGATCCGGGTCAGAATTTGCATGCTTCTTCTCCACTTCAATGTTCTGAAAAAAATCATTTTTAAATTGAAGACTTGATGATGAATTATGGGTATCTTCCACGTGTACAATATGAATAATCAACTTGATGTGGTGGTCCTTGGCCTTAAGCATGGCAATGGCATAATGGTATTTCAAAATCTTTGGCCAACTTTTCTATCATTTGATGTAACCTGGACCTGGTCCATGTAAAACCCACATTTATTTTCTATTAATAGGTCAAAAAATGGTGTGGAATATGAATGGTTAAGTAATTAATTCAAAGCAAATTTATAATGACCAGTCGTTTGAGAGAAGCTCTTCATTTTGTGACCGACATATAAGAGTTGACTAGTTGATGAACGTACTCTTGGTTTGCATATGCTTTTTCCCTACTTTCACTTACTTGAGTTAGGCTCTTCTGCATAGATTTTCCCTTTAGAATATTAATATTGGTAATTGACATGAATTTGTGAATGATTATTTGTATATTAAGTTGATCTGCCATGCATGCATGCATGAATATTAACAAGAGAATATTGCTGGTTAAAAGCTCAGATGAAGGCTCTAGAGTTTAAAGCTCTGAGAATCCCACTTTCACTTGCACAAATTGTAACAGATGAGATATTGCAAGAAGACAGAATTAAAAGGAAGTGGCTTTTCTTGTCTTTAACGGCAAAAGCACAACCCCACACAGTACAAAGAGCTGGCTGGTGGGATCAAAGTGGGGTTTCTTATAAACTTTAAAGCAGCAGCTGTCAATGATACCAGACCTTAAAAGATTGCAGTAAACATGCACACATACATACAAATTTATCCAGTCAAAATATATAATTAATATATTTGAAGATACACATGCTTTGCCTTTCCCAATCAATCAATCAATTAATGTAATTGTCCTTATCTCCCCAAATTTTATAATTTGAGTAATGTATTAGTCACTGGGTTTTATCCTGATGACCTCTTGGTAGGGGAAAAAAAAAAATTTCTTTTTAAGGATTATAACTTCCCTTTTAAATAATTATACATACAATGAATCAATTATGGGGTCCGAAGATTTTAGATTCTGAAACAGATCAGTCATTATACTGATGTGTAGTAAAGAGTGATAAGAAAATTGGTGATTGTAAATTTGGCAAATGGGTTTGTGTTTCTTTTGAAAGGGATTTGCTTTAAATTACTAATATAATGGAGGATTTGTTATGAATAACGATGAGGGTAAATTTGGTATAAAAAGATTATGTAATGATCTTGTTAAATCTATATAAGTATATATAATTGCATTGTGACTTCTTGACTCCTCAGGCTTTATTCACTGGATTGCTTAGCTTTGGTACTGGCTTCATATGGAGACTAAAAGGCTTGATGCTTCGCTTGTGAAGTTGATGTGTGTGTTGCTTTCACTGTTATCTTCATTTATGGTGTTGAGTTTTGCTTCACCAGATGCCAACTTCAATGACTACAGGCGTAATCTTTTAGCAAATGGCCTTGGCATCACTCCTCCCATGGGGTTTGTTCATTCTCTCTCTGTTTCTCTTTCTTCTTGTTCTTGTGCTACACTGTTTTTCTTCAGATCATATCAAGCCTCTCCTTTTTTTAAGGAAAGTTTTTGGCTTTAGTTTGAAACTTATAGAATAGTCATTGCTTTGGTGTTTGCCGCATACCCTTTACTTATCAAACCAATTAGCGGCTATATATGAACAAAGATTTGATTTTTCCTTAAATTTGCTAATGTGATCATCACTGCTCAAAGAATTTTCAATGAGCATTCGGTATATAACGAATAGAAACAATATTTTCATTTGAAGAAACCTCAATGGATTGAATTTGCTTTCCATTATGTTGTATTGATGATTTTTTAGTTGTATTCCACCTTTTAAAATAATCCCCAGATGCAAAATTAAATTTAGATATGACAGGCTGAAAATGTAACTGAAAATACTGCTGTTCTCCTTTTCTGCAGATGGAATAGTTGGAATCACTTTAGCTGCAACATTAATGAGAATGTCATCAAACAAACTGGTAAGTTCTCCTTAAACTCTTTTTTCTTCTTTTGTAATTCTCAAGCCCAGATTCTTGGTTAAGAAGATTTATAACACAGAGATTTATAAGCTGTTTATTTGGTTTGACAGCTGATGCTTTGGTTTCCACTGGTCTATCCAAGCTTGGTTATACCTATGTTAACATAGGTATGTTGCAATTATGTTTCAAATTCTCTCTTTCTGGCAAGTTTTTTTGTTCTTTCCATTATTGACATAACTTGCTAACACTGGAGTGCATTATCTCCTTTTCCTTAGATGATTGTTGGGCAGAAATATATAGAAATGACAAGGTGTGGTTTGTTTTGTTTTTAGTTGTAAATTTTTTTTTAAAAAAAAAAATTGTTTAAGTTTTCATAAAAGAAAAATGAAGCAGCACTGAAACTAAGAAATACTAATTGCAGGGTGAATTACTGCCCAAGAACTCAACATTTCCTTCTGGTATTAAAGCTCTGGCAGACTATGTTCACCGCAAGGGGCTTAAGCTTGGTATATATTCAGATGCAGGGTAAAATAATGACGTCAATACATCATGATACAAACTTGTATTACATAGTTGTTGGTAAAATTTTATATATCCTTGTTATGAAAATTACCAAGCACATTTATATATTCATTTCCATCTATTTCGCAGTTATTTTACTTGCAGCAAAACTATGCCTGGTTCACTTGGTCATGAGGAAGAAGATGCGAAAACCTTTGCCTCATGGGTATAATATTTAGTGTTCAGTTTTCCATTTTGGATTCTATATTTTGTCTAGCTCATACCACAAATGAATTAATACTATGCACTTTCTGGGCAGGGTATTGATTATCTAAAGTATGACAATTGTAACAATGATGGAACAAAACCAACTCTCAGGTAATGAATCAAATATACAATCAAAGTGCTTATTGTTCTTCTCATTTTCAGTTGAATGTGCAGTAATATGTTCCATTATCTTGTTTAAATGTAGATATCCTATAATGACCCGAGCTTTAATGAATACTGGCCGTCCCATTTTCTTTTCACTATGTGAATGGTAACGATATATTTCTGATGACAATATATTCTTTTACCTCCTGAGTTGAGTGTTTCCATGTCTTTATTCTTGATTTAACATATTATTCTTAATGTAATATAGGGGAGACCTGCACCCTGCTTTATGGGGGTTTAAGGTAGGAAATAGCTGGAGAACAACTAATGATATTGCTGATACATGGGACAGGTAAAGACTTATTTTCAGAGTTTGAGTTTGGTTATTTAAGATGTTAGTCAGAATGTTATAAGTTCTCTGTTTTTCTTTGGCAGCATGATGTCTAGAGCAGATATGAATGAAATTTTTGCTGAGCTTGCAAGGCCTGGTGGTTGGAATGGTTAGAAATTCTGAGATCCTCACAGTCTTTCACCAATATAGAAATGGAAATGATTTTCAGCTAGAGGTTTATCTTCGCTTTCAAAATTTATTTATAAGTGTTGCATTTCAACAGATCCTGATATGCTAGAGGTGGGAAATGGAGGGATGACAAAGAATGAATATATCGTCCACTTCAGCATATGGGCCATTTCCAAGGTATAGTAGACTTTTCTTTCCCTTGAACCAAAATGTTTTGCGGGAGCTTCTGTTGGCTTATGATTAAGTGGGCATTGCAGGCTCCCCTTCTTCTTGGCTGTGATGTGAGAAACATGACAAAAGATACAAAGGAAATTGTAGCCAATAAAGAGGTCATTGCTGTTAACCAAGGTATCTTATAAGAATCTGTTCATAAATAGTGTTATGCATCTTTAGGTGAATAAGTGTGCTTTTCTGGACTGCCTAGATTTAGATTTTCGGTTACTCATATGTTACAGATTCACTTGGCGTTCAAGCAAAGAAGGTTAGATCTGAAGGCGATCAAGAGGTAATGTGTATTTGTAAACTTCTTTATGGAACTGTTGTGCGCTTTGCTTCCTGCAGAATTAATAAGCAAACTATCATTTTTGTCTTGGCTTTAACAGATTTGGGCAGGACCTCTTTCAAACTACAGGGTGGCTTTACTGCTTGTAAACCGAGGTCCAATACGTTATTCTATTACGGCCAACTGGGATGACATTGGAATCCCTGAAAAAAGTGTTGTTGAAGCTAGAGATCTCTGGGAGGTATTGTTCAGCTACAACATTTGGACCTTAGAATATTTATTTTCTTCTATCTGTGCTTTTTTGTTTTCTTGCATGAGTGATTTACTCCATTGGACTTGAGTGCTAATATGTGTATGTTTTATGCAGCACATGACATTGAAAACCAAATTTGTTGGGAATCTGACCGCCACTGTGGAGTCTCATGGATGCAAGATGTATGTGTTGAAACCAATTGCTTAAGTGTTGACTTTGCTTACACAATTTGCAGAACATGTATGATGCAAATGGTCTCTTCTAGTTTTGATTGAATGGCATCAAAGCTATGTGGCACCCATGACACTAGAGACTAATAATTAATATAAGTTTGGAAATAATTAATATACGTTTGGAAGAAGCAAAGCTCTTCTTTTTCTGATGCATATTAAGATGAAATGCTGTTTGAATGTCATATTGTTGGCAATACATCTTGCCAGCTCCAAACACCAAAACTCGCGGAATTTTTGGCGTCCTTAAATGTTGAAGTTGATTAAAGCATTTTAAAAATTGGCAACCACACCAGATTTGAAACTGAATGTATCAGGGTACGTACTGCTTAAGGTTCTCTTGCAGGAAATTGGTTTTTCTGTTGTTGAAACTGTCTGCACTCTCATTTTACCTTCTTTAACATAGTTAAAATGGTAAATGGTTTGTCATGGATTGATAATAGAGCAGCAAGCTAACTGCCCCATGTCTTTCCTCCGATCGGTAGAAGATGTGTCCTGTTATGAACATTCAAGAGAATATAATCAAGTGCAGAAGTTTAACCGAATAGAATAAATGAATTAGAATGGAAAAGAGTAAACAATATAATGATCAAAGAAAACAACAATCAAAAAGGTGAATTTAGATGCAGCATACACAATTTTTTGGAGCATTTGCAAGAAATTTGCTAAAGCTCATTGCGATCTGCAAAAGTGCTGACAATTAAACTCCTTTTATTGTGCTTCTACCTATATTAACGTTCCATGAAATTCCTTCGTCATTGAAACTATAGACAAGTTCCTACTATTCCATATATATTAAATATTTGGTTAATTTTATGTAACTAACTTAAAATTAGAATAGATATTACGATACTGGAGTTTGAGATTTGGAAGGATAATCAGTATCCCGATAAAGCTGGAGGAGTGAAATTGATTAGAGTTAAATCCTTAAAAGTTCATCAAATAAAATCATCCAATAATAATCCCTGATATTATGTTAACAGCTATCGTCAAGAGTAGTGTCTTTGAAGACTATAAGTACCACTGTTATTTCACTCACAAACTGAACCACACTTTCTATTTTCTCCTTGTTCCTTTGATTCAGAAGAGACTGTGGAAATGGATACTTTACCCTTGAAAGCGTTATGTTTGCTAGTAATAGTGATTGGTGTTTCCTCGTCCGGATCGACAATGATGGAGGAGTCGAAGTTGAAGGTGTTAAGCAGCAAATTTAAGTATCATAATCATGCACACAGGCGAAATTTGCTTGACAATGGACTTGCAAGCACTCCTGCCATGGGGTTTGTAGTAACTTCATTCTATTCATGATTTTGTTTCTTTAGTTCTTAGAACAAGCTAAAAATGAACTGAAAGAGCTGGCTTTATCTTTTTCTTCTTCATAGGTGGAATAGTTGGAATCACTACTGGTGCAGTGTTAATGAGACTATCATCAAAGAAGCAGGTAAGTTTTTCCATAACCTTCATTTATTTCCTTTAATAAACAAGTTACTCAGTGCTCTTGATTGTACTAACAGTTTTGATTTTATTTTACTTGGTTTGACAGCTGATGCTATTGTCTCCAGTGGGCTAGCCAAGCTTGGATATAAATATGTTAACATAGGTATTTTTCAACTACTGTCTTTATTGTATTATTGTAATTGATGTAAGTGCTAATCAAAGAGTGAACAATCTTTATTTTCTTAGATGATTGTTGGGGTGAACAAGATCGTGATAGCAAGGTATTATCTATTTCTATGTTCCTTATGTTGATCTCTATTTGCATATAACAAAGAAAGTGAAATGGTATTAAAGAAGAACATTAATTTCAGGGAAATTTAGTGGCTAAAAATACTACATTTCCATCTGGTATTAAAGCTCTGGCAGACTATGTTCACTCCAAGGGGCTTAAGCTCGGAATATACTCAAGTGCAGGGTAACATCGCTAAGTCTATTGCATTCTCTACCCCCTATATTTTATTGATTTTTATTAGCTAAGCGGTGGCTTTATCTTCAATTTTTTTTTTTTTTTCCGTTTTGCAGGACTTATACTTGTAGCAAGCAAATGCCTGGTTCACTGGGTTATGAGGACCAAGATGCTAAGGCCTTTGCCTCATGGGTATGAACTGTGTTCATATTTCATCTTGTTCTCTATTTTATTACTGTATTTCCACCCAAAACATTAATTAATTCACTTACTGTACAGGGTGTTGATTATTTGAAGTATGATAATTGTTACAATGATGGAACAGAGCCAACGGTCAGGTAAGTTAAGTCATATATAAATATATGCATATTCCAAAGTAATTTTTCTTTCCAGTCCTCATTTAAGCTTGTTGTTATAATCGATGTGTTATATTCTTTTTGTAGATACCCTGCAATGACTCGAGCATTGATGAATGCCGGACGCCCTATCTACTACTCTTTATGTGAATGGTACTCATTAACAGTGTTCCTAATCTTTTTTTTTAAATCTTGGTTTAACATATTCTTGCATTGCAGGGGAGATCGGCACCCTGCTACATGGGGTGCTATAGTTGGAAATAGCTGGAGAACTACTGGTGATATTACGGATTCATGGGATAGGTAAAATTTAATAACTTAAATTTGGTTATCGAAGACATTGGTCATCATATATTTAAGTTTTTTCTTCTTCTTTGGCAGCATGGTCACAAGAATAGACTTGAATGAAGCTTATGCTGAGTATGCAAGGCCTGGTGGTTGGAATGGTTAGCTTTTCTAAATAATGAAAATCTTTGATCCTTTCAGAAATGAATACTTCTCAGATAATATTGTGTTATTTCTGAACAGATCCTGACATGCTTGATATTGGAAATGGAGGGATGACAAAAGATGAATATATTGTGCACTTCAGTTTATGGTCCATTTCCAAGGTATTATATTTGAATTGGACACATGGCTTCAAGTCTTCTGTTAGCTTGTGATTTAATTGATATTGCAGGCTCCCCTTCTCCTCGGATGTGATCTGACAAGTATGACTGCAGATACATTAGAAATCATTGGAAATAAAGAGGTCATTGCTATTAATCAAGGTGATTAGATTTCTTCTCAATAAGAGACTTATCTAGATATTGATTTCATGTTGCTGATGCGTATAGCAAATGTATCAGATCCGCTTGGGATTCAAGCAAAGAAGGTTAGGTGGATGGGTGATCAAGAGGTAAAATTATTAACAACTCTTTCTTGTTTAGGCTTGTGGTTGTATTCATATTGTTGTTTTGGGTTGCACAGGTTTGGGCAGCTCCCATTTCAGGCTACAGGTTTGCTGTAGTGCTGGTGAACAGAGGTCCTTGGCGTTACGCCACCACCGCCACATGGGAAGACATTGGAATTCCTGAGGGTACTGTTATTGAAGCTAGAGATCTGTGGGAGGTAATTTTCAGCTACCATTTACAACACATTTGTTGTGTGTTTGTGCGGTTCTAATTTCCTTAAATCTTTATTTATGCAGCACAAGAACTTGCCAATGCAATTTGTAAGCAACATTACAGCTATGGTGCCTTCTCATGGGTGCAAGATGTATCTGTTGAATCCTGTTGGCTGAGAGATCTCTTCCGAATTCAGATGCTCTAGACATATTATGATTTGTAATTGGTCTCTTCTAGTTTTGAAATTAGTAATAGGTAGTGACTTTTTTTTGTTAATTTATTTTCTGGAAATTAATTGTTAATGAAAATTCAGATAAAGAAATTCCCATTGTTTTAGTTATCAGTAAGGTTGCTCCATTTTTAAGTTCATAATGTTATGTAACTTTAATTCTCTAATAAATGGAAGTAATGAAAAAATGTTCTGGTGAATTCAAATTCATGAGGGGTTTTCTTGGGTTTTAATTTGAAGTAAAGCTAAGGCATTTGGTTTCAGAATGACCAACGTCCGAATAGTCATCCTGAAAGGTTGCAATTAACTAATAGTATTGAGGCACCATTATCTTTCATTTTAATGACATTAGAGTTGTCTTGCAAGCAACAAGCACCACAAAATCATCTCCCTTTGAGCTGCCGAAAATTTAGCTTCTGTAAAATGTTTTATTTATTTATTTATTTTTGTTTTTGAAGCTGTATGTTTCCCCATGAGATTATCCACTTTGTAAATCAGACAAGGCATGCAGTTTAAACTAGTAATAAAATATGAAGACAGACTACACTTATACTTAAGTGTGTGTTTCCAAAACAAGATTACGAAGAAGGCAAGTTTGGTTGCAGTTGTAGTTTTTTGAATGAAGTACATGATTCCTAATCCTAGATGCATACTCGGAAATATCTATTTCAGAAAACTAAAAGGAAATTGTAAAAATAATTCTCTCTCACACCTCATCCCTCAACCTTAATATACAATAGCCCTGATCAGCACTCTACCAACAACAAAATTCAATCCACTAAATAAGTGTTACATAAATCAGTTTAGTTTTAGTTGTTGAAAAACTGGTTGTCAACTAAAAGAAATATCAGCATTAGATCCTATTTGAGATTATTATGGTTTTTGGATAATATGAAAAATACTGTTCATTTGGTGCTTTCTGCAATGGTTGCTTTTCATATTGCATCAGGGTTTCGATTGTAGAAGTTTATCCATGAAGAAATTAAAGCTTAAAAATTTAAGTAGCCATGAAAAGCGAAGGTCTCTGCTAAAAGTTTCAGTTCAACTGATATCATCTCCTCGTAAAAAAAAGAGCATTTAATAAATGGTCACAAAAGCAGTCAGAATCAGAATCAGAATCAGAATCATCGCCACCCTATTCATGGGGCAAAAGACAAGGCAGAAATGGGACTGGTCCCTTAATAATAGAGGGACACTCACCCACATGCCAGACCCCACCAAATTATATGATATGATATCTTCTACCTTGAACAGAATTATGTGATTTTATCTCTAGCAGAAAGTAATACCTGTTTTATGATCTTATAAGATATCTCTTAATCTCTGTGCTTCAGTTCATCGTAAATATTATATTTCTTATTTATATGGAAATCCCGATATGGTTGGTGATTTTAGAATTAAAATGGATAATTACCGAAGCCGAAGCTAGAATTATCCATTAATATTGTTTTATTTCTATAATAATCATAACAAATTATTATTTGATACTCAAAAGATGTGAGTCTGAGTCTTAACTCTCTATAAATAGCTGTGTAATTCCTCTCACTCCACTCATTCCTCTTCTGTTTGATCAGTAACAAAAGAAGAGAACAGTAACATAAGTAGAAATGGAGAGGAAGTTGACATGTTGTTTATTATTAATATCATTAATGGTGATTGCGGTGACCTCATCAGGAGCAAAAATCATAAAGAAGCCCCCAAATACCAAGTTTCACTACTACAGCGAACGCCTCAGGCGAAATCTGCTTGCAAATACCCTCGGCCTTACTCCTCCGATGGGGTACTTTTCATATTTATGTATACTTTTGCCATATTGATTAGTTCAAATATCTGATTATGTGTTGTTCTTTATAGGTGGAATAGTTGGAATCACTTCAACTGCAATGTTAATGAAACTATCATCAAAGATGCCGGTAAGTTTTGATCTGGGGTTCCTCAAGTTTTGCAAGAACAGAAATTTGTATTTAAATTTTTGTTAACATGTGCCTCTAAAAGGACTCCTTTAAATTAATTTATATTTGTTTTGTATTTTCAGCTGATGCTCTGGTTTCCTCTGGTCTCGCCCAGCTCGGATATACCTATGTCAACATAGGTAAGTTGTTATTTATATTTATATTTCATCTTCTCCTTTATTGACATAAGTGGTAATCAAAGAGTGTCATGTTTTGATTTCTCAGATGATTGTTGGGCCGAAAAAGTTCGTGATAAAAATGTATGTGTTTTGTTTACATCTTTCTTTGTGTTTTAAGTTTATACAGAATAAGAAAATGAGCTGAACTGAAGAAATAATTTTGATTCCAGGGAAATATAGTGGCTAGAAACACTACGTTTCCATCTGGCATAAAAGCCCTTGCAGACTATGTTCACAGCAGGGGGCTTAAGCTTGGGATTTATTCCAGTGCTGGGTAACATCTTTACTATTGAAAAATGAATATTCCTTTTAATCAAAATTGGAAACTGAGCACATAGGTGCATTTCCATCTATTTTTCAGGTTTTTTACTTGCAGCAACACCATGCCTGGCTCACTTGGTTACGAGGAACAAGATGCTAAGACCTTTGCCTCATGGGTATTGCTATTTATAATTATTTGAATTTCATTATGTCTCATGCCACATACTTATATATAATTCACTTTCTGTGTAGGGCATTGATTATTTGAAGTATGATAACTGTTACAATGATGGAACAAATCCAACTGCCAGGTGAATAAATATATCTTCAAATATAAATTGTGTATGCATGTGGCTCTAACATCTTTACTTTACCTCGTTTGTGTAGATATCCTGCAATGACCAGAGCTTTAATGAAGGCTGGTCGCCCTATCTACTACTCTCTATGTGAATGGTAGTCCTCGTTCTCTGTGAAAATTTATCTCCCAAATCTTTTTTCTATTGAACTTTTTCTTCATATATAGGGGAGACATGCATCCTGCTACATGGGGTTTCCGGGTAGGAAATAGCTGGAGAACTACTGGTGACATCAGTGATAACTTTGACACGTAAATACATGGATTCAGAATTTCAGATCAGTTTGAGTTTCTTTGTTTCAGATGCTGTTCATTTTATTTATAATAATTTTTCATTCTTTGGCAGCATGATGAATAGAGCAGATATGAACAATATGTATGCTGACTATGCAAGGCCTGGTGGTTGGAATGGTTATAATNTCCAATGGGGTACTTTTCATATTTATGTATACTTTTGCCATATTGATTAGTTCAAATATCTGATTATGTGTTGTTCTTTATAGGTGGAATAGTTGGAATCACTTCAACTGCAATGTTAATGAAACTATCATCAAAGATGCCGGTAAGTTTTGATCTGGGGTTCCTCAAGTTTTGCAAGAACAGAAATTTGTATTTAAATTTTTGTTAACATGTGCCTCTAAAAGGACTCCTTTAAATTAATTTATATTTGTTTTGTATTTTCAGCTGATGCTCTGGTTTCCTCTGGTCTCGCCCAGCTCGGATATACCTATGTCAACATAGGTAAGTTGTTATTTATATTTATATTTCATCTTCTCCTTTATTGACATAAGTGGTAATCAAAGAGTGTCATGTTTTGATTTCTCAGATGATTGTTGGGCCGAAAAAGTTCGTGATAAAAATGTATGTGTTTTGTTTACATCTTTCTTTGTGTTTTAAGTTTATACAGAATAAGAAAATGAGCTGAACTGAAGAAATAATTTTGATTCCAGGGAAATATAGTGGCTAGAAACACTACGTTTCCATCTGGCATAAAAGCCCTTGCAGACTATGTTCACAGCAGGGGGCTTAAGCTTGGGATTTATTCCAGTGCTGGGTAACATCTTTACTATTGAAAAATGAATATTCCTTTTAATCAAAATTGGAAACTGAGCACATAGGTGCATTTCCATCTATTTTTCAGGTTTTTTACTTGCAGCAACACCATGCCTGGCTCACTTGGTTACGAGGAACAAGATGCTAAGACCTTTGCCTCATGGGTATTGCTATTTATAATTATTTGAATTTCATTATGTCTCATGCCACATACTTATATATAATTCACTTTCTGTGTAGGGCATTGATTATTTGAAGTATGATAACTGTTACAATGATGGAACAAATCCAACTGCCAGGTGAATAAATATATCTTCAAATATAAATTGTGTATGCATGTGGCTCTAACATCTTTACTTTACCTCGTTTGTGTAGATATCCTGCAATGACCAGAGCTTTAATGAAGGCTGGTCGCCCTATCTACTACTCTCTATGTGAATGGTAGTCCTCGTTCTCTGTGAAAATTTATCTCCCAAATCTTTTTTCTATTGAACTTTTTCTTCATATATAGGGGAGACATGCATCCTGCTACATGGGGTTTCCGCGTAGGAAATAGCTGGAGAACTACTGGTGACATCAGTGATAACTTTGACACGTAAATACATGGATTCAGAATTTCAGATCAGTTTGAGTTTCTTTGTTTCAGATGCTGTTCATTTTATTTATAATAATTTTTCATTCTTTGGCAGCATGATGAATAGAGCAGATATGAACAATATGTTTGCTGACTATGCAAGGCCTGGTGGTTGGAATGGTTATAATTCTGAAACTTGGAAATTTTGGCTTATGAAGAAATAGTTTCAGCAAATTGTTTAACTCATTTTTAGAGATTTATTCAATGTTTGAACAGATCCTGATATGCTTGAAGTTGGAAATGGAGGAATGACAAAAGACCAATACATTATACACTTCAGTCTATGGGCCATGGTTAAGGTATGATATGTTTCATTTAGACTCATGCTTGCGTAAATTAATGCATCGAGCTGTTAATTCATGATTTAATTGGTGTTGCAGTCTCCCCTTCTCCTTGGCTGTGATTTGACGAATTTGACTCAACAAACATTAGAGATTATTGGCAACAAAGAAGTCATTGCCATTAACCAAGGTAATCAGACTTTTATTTACTCTTAACAGTTTCTTTTCTATTCAATAAGACTTAATATAGATAACATGCTTTTTTATGTAACAGATCCACTTGGGGTTCAGGCAAAGAAGGTTAGGGAAGATGCTGAGGTAAATTTTCCCACTGAAATTTTAGCCAACTATTTTTTATTTTATTTTTGACTGATTAACTATGATTTATATTTTTCCTTGAAACAGATATGGGCAGGACCTCTTTCAGGCTATAGATTTGTGGCACTCCTAGTCAACCGAGGTACATGGTCTACTAATATCACAGCACATCTGGAAGACATTGGAATTCCCCCAAAAACTAAAGTTCAAGTTAGAGATCTATGGGAGGTATTTGGCCTGTTTATTTAATTTTATTTATGTTCATTTGTCTGGCTTCTAATGTGTGTTATTTTTAATGCACAGCACAAGACACTGGAAGAAACAGCGACAATGAACCTGACAGCTAGTCTGGGTGCTTATGGAAGCAAGATGTATCTGTTGACGCCTCTTAAGGAGCAGTCATCTTAATTATATCTAACTTCAGGAATTTTCATTTTCTTTTGATGTAATAGGTCACTAGATTTTAGATTGAAATTAGCTAATAATTGTAAGGCATTTTACGTGGATTTTATTGTTAGTGACGATTTGGAAGAAGTTAAGTTTTCCATTTTTTTAGTGCATAATGTTTTAAGTTTTGGTATTTACTGTTGGCTTCAAATTTTGTGGAATGGTGAATTATTCTAGTTAATTATCACAAAGATTGCTATAGTTAATGAGTAAAAAGAAATAATGTTGAAAGAATTTGCCACTCAAAACCTTAGAAATAAGAGGCTACAGGTTCCCTGATTAGACTCATCTCAGACTTCTTACATTGAACATTTCTGAAACCTACTTTTCTTGTTTTTTCATGTTAAAGTAAATCCATTTCCACATACGCTCAGGCTCATCATCAATGTCGAAAGCATATTACATGCACATTCTTGATAAGATCTCCTGCCATTTTGTCGCCAGGACATATAAGACAGTTGTTAATTCTTCAGGCAAATATTGCCTCGATTGCCTCGGCAGCTTATAATATGTGAACAATATAAGAGTTATATGAATACACATAAACAAAGAAGTAAAACTGGCATATGCATTTAACCATAGATTTCAAGTATTTTACCAGAAAAGACAATGATATGGTCGACTAGCCCAAGGGACAAGACTTACACTTTGTCCAATAGTTGTGAATAAGGATATAAAAAATTACTCCAAGGAACCTGATTCATATGATTCATAATTTGGAGCTTTCATGTCGTTTTCACTTTGACTGCCGGCATGCCTCTGTACAACTTCGTAAACTTATACTGAAACTTCACTATATATCTCCTCTCTAGTTATAACTTGCTTTAACAGAAAACTGAACAGCTTCTCATGGCCAATGGTGTGACTTCTTCTCTCCTTTCAGTGTTTATTTTATGTACGATTTTAACAGTAGCAGTCAGCCATGCTGCTCGTTTGAGGAAACTCGGTGAAGTAGAGGAAACAAGAAGGAACTTGCTAAACAATGGTCTTGGTCATACTCCTCAAATGGGGTGAGCTTACTTATCTCAAGATTTTTTTCTGCGTATGATGTTGCTGTACCATCATTTGATGTCAAAATAATGCAACAAAGAAAAAAAAAATTTCTAAAAGAGCATGAATAATTTATTTTGATGCATGCAGATGGAACAGTTATAATCACTTTCCTTGCAAACTCAGTGATGAACTAATTCGCCAGACTGGTAAAATTATTTTACAGCTTGAAGTTGGTTGTCCCTTACTCTTTTTCCCATAGATATTCTTGCCATTGTTCTGAGTCGTTTCTCTTCATTTGTGATGCAGCTGATGCAATGGTTTCTAGTGGACTCGCTGCCCTCGGATATGAATATATTAATTTAGGTAATTTTTCTTCTTGATAAGTAAATAGGATACAATACAAGTATCAATTTCCTTTGTTCTAACTTTGTTTTTGAGCAGATGATTGCTGGGCAGAATTGCATAGAGACTCCAAGGTACAAAACCTCTCATGTTCCATATCGTTTGTGATATGTCCACACATATTCTTTGAATTTGGGGTCTAGTGTCTGTCACCTTCTTCCTGATTTATAGGTGTTATGGAAAGATTCCCCAGAGTCAAAACTTTTGAGATTTTTGGATCTATCATTAAAACCTTCTGGATTTAGAATCAAGTTAAATTCATATTTTCTAGATTCACAAGCTCATTTAGTTTCACGGGAAGCATTTGTACTGTTGCTTACACTCTTTAGAATGTGATCTCTGGTTGTCCTAATCTTTCGGGTATGCAGGGAAACCTGGTGCCAAAAGCTTCTATTTTCCCCTCTGGCATGAAAGCTCTCGTGGATTATGTCCACAGCAAAGGGCTAAAGATTGGGATTTATGCTGATGCAGGGTACTGATCATATATCATCTCTTATTATTAACTAAACATAAAATTTTGTTTATTTTATAAACTAGTGGCCATTAGCCTATTGGTTGTTTTTTCAGGACAATGACTTGTGCCAAGACAATGCCAGGGTCTCTTGGTTACGAGGAACAGGATGCCAACACCTTCGCTTCTTGGGTATGTTGAACTAACCATATTCTAAGGTCAAATAAAGTCTACATGTTCGAAACTTTTTCTATCTTTAAATAGAAATAGTGATGTTATTGTTAAATATACTGATTGCGCTGTTAACTTATGCTCTCAAGCTGTAGCATGTTGTCTCTTGCAATTTAGCTCCATTTGGGGCATGTTGTCAGTTAATCCACCGATACAATCGTTTGCATTCTTTAATTTCTACCTACTAGAATATGTGTATATTTAACTCTTAATAGTTAATATTAGTGCTTTTATCTTTTATGAAATCGCTTTCGAAGTAACACATCCTGACATGCATCATATATATTTAATCACCTGTGGGGTTGATTTTTATTTTTTTAATCTCTTGATGGTTATTTAGGGAATTGATTATCTGAAATACGATAATTGCCACAACAATGGAGTGAGCCCACAAGAAAGGTATAGCTATAGAAACTCTGAAATATGCATAATACATTAAACTGCTTCCCTGATCTGGTCAAGTTTTATTCACATATACAATTACTATTGGCGTTGGTGACAGATATTCCAAAATGGGCAAAGCTCTACTAAACACTGGAAGACCCATATTTTACTCTCTTTGTGAATGGTATTCTTTTTTCTATTTTCATTCTTAAATATTATTCATATTTTTTAAACCAAGTAAGAATGTGTTTTACTATAGGCCAAGCATATACATGACATAAAGGAAACAAAATTTGTGCATATGCAGGGGCCAGGAAGACCCTGCAACATGGGCACCTGACATTGGAAACAGTTGGAGAACAACTGGAGATATCAAAGATTCTTGGGATAGGTAGTTTTCTTTTATTCTTCCGAAATCAAAGAGAGTAGGCAAAACATGAAATTGATGATTCTGTTTCTGCAGTATGACATCGCGTGCTGATCAGAATGACCAATGGGCATCTTATGCTGGACCGGGTGGATGGAATGGTTAGAGGCAACTATATTATACATGTCAATCTACTTTATATTACCAGCTCATGTTATTAGATTTTTTACATTGCTGCTGAATCTTTAGACCCTGACATGCTTGAGGTGGGCAACGGAGGAATGTCAACAGAAGAATACCGCTCCCACTTCAGCATTTGGACTTTAGCAAAGGTGCTTGATTGATCATATTTAAGGACAATTCACATACACCTGGTGTTGACCCTCTCTAAATGGCTATATATTTTTTGTCAATGATTCCTTAGGCTCCCCTTATCCTTGGGTGCGATATTCGCTCCATGGACAAGGACACATTGGAGTTGATTACCAACGAGGAGGTCATTTCTGTTAACCAAGGTTAGTCTTTTGATCACCATATATCATACATTTAAATGTATTATATTTACTCTGACCACATGACATTGAAACAGATAAACTTGGAATTCAAGGAAAGAAGGTGAAGAAGACTGGAGATTTGGAGGTAATTAAGTGTGTGCATCTTATAACAATGTTTGCAACTGATTTGTAGTTCGTCATATTAATAAATGCTTCTAAGTTTCCAGGTCTGGGCTGGTCCTCTAAGTGGCAATAGGATAGCAGTAATATTGTGGAACAGAGGATCTTCCAAAGCCACCATAACAGCTGACTGGAGTGACATTGGCCTCAAATCATCAGCAGTGGTTGATGCTCGAGATTTATGGGCGGTCTGACTCAACAAACTTCTTATGTTTTTTTTATCAATTTTGTCACTAACACATCCATGCATTAGATCCTAATTAACTTGTGTGTTTTGATTTGATTTTGCAGCATTCAACTACTCACTCTGTTAAGAATAAACTTGAGGCAAGTGTTGAATCCCATGCATGCAAGATGTACATCCTCACGCCACAATAGAAAGCGTCGAAATTTCATCTATATGATCAATCCTTCCCTCTTGATCAACATGTGAAAGAAAATAATGTAATTTGGCAGGTTGAATTGCAAAATACAGTAACATTTATTACTTATGTGTATGCACTTTGAAGTGTTTTAACCGTCCTTGGCTCTATTTAATTGGAATTATATTGTCTTGATTTCATAGTGATGTTTCTAGTAATGGGCTGTGATTAAAATTTGGAAGATAAAGTTTGATAGGTTTCCATTTTACAAAGAAAGTTTTATGTTGTGGCCTATAATATACTCTCTTCATCATTATCAAAGTTAACTGAAGTTAAGGAGTAAAAACTGTGTTAAATAAAATAAACGCAAGTCGTATTTATGGATATGTATAAAACAAGAACATAAAAGAAACTGAAGGTAAAAAGGATTAGGCATATGAAAATATTACACTCCATCGAAAAATGTTGTCAGTGAGGATGTTGGGTTTAAGTAGTAAAACCCATGTTCACGTTCTGAATCAATTATCAAAATTTGCTTTTGTTCAAGATAAGCCCTTTTTGTCTTGTAATTCACTTACAATCTCACCTGTGAAGACACCAATTCGTGCTGCTAATGATGATGAAACAGCGAAAAATGAAGTTATGACCAAAGGGTCAGGAACCACGGCTAGAGGAAGGAGACTGCTCAAGGTTCGAGAAGAGAAGAGGAAAAGAGAATACGATAAACTTCACAAATATCCTGCTTGGGCCAAGTAAGTGTTTGAATTAATGTCTCAATGAATGGACATCTTTTCTCCTAATAATAATAATAATAATAATAATAATAATAATAATAATAGAAAAAATCGTTTCTTCTGTTGCAGAGTCCTTGAAGATGCCTGCAAAGATGATGAGGAGCTCCGAGCAGTTCTTGGAGATAGCATCGGCAACCCTGAACTTATGAGAAAACGGGCAATTATCTAACTTAACCCTTTAAATTTTCTTCTAACAGCTTTTGTATTGATGTTGTTTATGCCAGCTTTTATGGATAAAGATTATGTCCAGATGAGTTTTAATGTCTTAGGCAAACATGCTACAGGTTGAAGAAAGAGTTAGACAGAAGGGTAGGGACTTCCAAAAATCGAAAACAGGCTCTGTCGTTGCATTCAAAGTCGGCTTTAGAGAGTAATCTACTCTTACTCCTTCAATTTCAGACACTGTTATAAGAGATTTCAAAAATATGTTACATTTTCTATATCTTCAATAAATATGGGATTTCACATGCGATGGTAATTGATTATCTAAAGAAATCACTTATATTCATGTTGATGATAACTCTATGAAGATAAGTCTGCGAATGCTCTAGCACTTTTTATTATTATTATTATTCTGATTGGAGTCATTAGCACATTAGTGGTATCAACATAGTTTGCTTGGCTTTTAGAAGTTACATTGGCCACAAAATCCATTAGTCGTTGACTGCAAAAGCTGTTTTTGAAATGGCTGGGAGCTGTATTAGCACTGGAATTGCATAGAGTAACATGAGGGGGCATGATTGATGCTGCGGGGTTCAGTTTGTTTACTGTTTTGGAATCTTTGTCTGCATTGGAAAGTAATTAATAAACATGCAAACTTGACTATTGTAGTTCTTTTTTCTTGTGACAGCTTTAATCCTATTGATTCATACATATGGTTTGAATTATATGGGTCACCATCTGATCGAGACGTTGATCTTATTGGTAGCGTAAGTGTTTCTCCGAGCATTCTCCACCTAGTTCCCTTCATTGGCATTGAATTTTTATTCTGTTATCACAAACATGTTTAATTATTACATTTTCCTGCTTGTAACCTCTTTTTTTGTTTTTCCTTTTATTTATGTTTATGGGTCCTTAATTACTTACGACAGCTATACATACAGGTTATTCAGTCATGGTATGTCATGGGGCGACTGGGAGCCTTTAATTCTTCTAATCTGCAGGTTTGTTCATACTTTTCTCCTTAACATTCTATTTGACTTTAAAATGTTGTTTGCTCATTGTGATGTTTGATTGATGGTGTGGGGATTATATCCCAAAGCTGAATGTAAAAGCCTTTGGTTTCAATCAAGAGGTGAAAGGGTTCAAATCCTGTTCGGCTGTCTACTTGGGAAATTATTAGGGATGACAAGATGGGTTAGTTTGCGTTGTATGTTAAGACGATCGGCTGTCTACTTGGGATATTATTAGGGATGACAAGATGGGTTAATTTGTGATATTTGTTGGAAAGATTGAGGGATTTCTTGGTTGAGGGCTTGCATATCATTAAGTTTTATTCCTATTTTTGCCGTGTCTGGAATAATATAAAAAAATATATTCATTTTTTAAAAAAGAGGCATTTTTGGTATTCTGACAAAGAGATGAACCAACTAGAGATGGAAATTATTTTCCCCCTTGTGATTATTAGCTGAGTTGTTTTAGTTTTAGTTATTAGTGTGCAAAATTAGAAAATGATGTTTGCTAATATAGTGTTAATGACAGTTGGCAAATTCATCAATGGAGTATGATCCCCTCTATGATGCAGATAAGGGTTTCAAAGTGATGCCATCATCATTTCATGATATCAGTGATGTTGAGTTTCAGGATAACTGGGGCCGTGTATGGTATGACTCAGCTGAATCTCTGTTGTTTTAACTCATTGACACATTTGTTTCAGTCTGAAGTATATTCATAATCTTACAGGGTAGACCTAGGGACATCTGATTTTTTCGCCATTGATGTCCTCCTCAATTGCTTCACAGTGTTGAGTTCAGAGTAAGTTGTGAGAATAGTTGTATGCAGCGGGTAGATGTTCGTTCTTGATAAAATCCATTTCTTGCAACTTAAGCTTAACTTTTTCCACCCCGCTCTTTGTGTGTGTGTGTGTGTGTGTGTGTGTGTGTGTGTGTTCTTGATGACAGGTACTTGGGCATTCAACAGATTGTTTTTGGTGGGCGTCGCATGGGTGATTGGGAAGAGGGCATGACAGACCCTCAGTTTGGATACAAATATTTTAAAATCTGAAGTAAATCTGGATTCTGGATTTCTGTTTTTCCTGTTTTGTTTACTATTATAAATGTATATACTTTCTATCCGTTGGAATGAATGAATATTAGATGATTAACGTTGTCTACACATTCTTAGTTGTAATCATTTTTGGCTTCAACCAGAACAAGCCTGTTTGCTATCTTACATCTTGAACAATATTTGTATTAGTATATCTCTTTCTCTTAACTGGAGTCGCAAGACAGCCTCACCAGAAACTGTACAATGAAATGATGGTTAATTAGATGATGTTCAAGCATGAAAGCAGTAACTTGAGATGGCAAAATATATACATACCTTCAACTTCGAAAAAAGGCAGAAATATTATGGGATTCTTGTCAGCTATACATTATCCTCTATATTTAGTCTAGCGGTTTGTACAAACTACGGCAACTTAAGAAAGTTTTTAGAAAATGTTACTGGTATAAAACAAAGTGCTGAAATATATGGGATTCATTGCATATTAGAACCTACGAGACATGAAGAAGTTAAAGTCATGGTGCTGGAATCCAAGTTGCTTCAACCAGGTCGATGCAGCACTCAGATAACTGATTACCCGCTCCTGATCTGACATCTCAGGATTTATCCAAAGTCTCCCAAACATCTTGTAAGTTGCCATTGCAAAAGGAGCAAACAATATCTCACCTCTCCCATTTCCTTTGGACTTGTCTCTAGGATTTTCTTCCCAAGAACTCATGCATTTCAGTTTCTCATCCTCCTCTGTGATGAAATTTGGGAGACCTAATTTGCAAGAAAAAAGATAAAATATATGTTCAAAGTAAATATCCAACTGTTACATATACTTGACTAACTAACAAACTTTAGTACAAATCAACAAACTCATTGGCCCATTGTTACCAGCTGATTCACATCACAAACATTTACCTAAACAAGCTTTATATAGATGATTACATTACTAGGAAAGTAGACAATCAGTCTGGACAAGATATCTTGCAATGGTCATTGCTGTGCGGTTGAACAGTTTTCTTGCATAAAAGATTCAAATGAAGCCAGACAAGATTCACTCAAACTAATAATTAAAGAACAATATTAATATTGTTTACTGTTTTGGATACTCAGTCATTAAAGTTTACTCCAGGCAAACCATATTCCAAGAAGAGTTCCATAAAATTTTCAGTTTTTTGGTCCCATTTCTTTTCCTCAGAAGGGGAAATTCATACATAATTACATTTGTAAAAAAACCAGAATAATATTGGTTGTTTCAAGAAAATCATTGTCTAGGAAAGAGACTTTAATTTTAGATTCTTCAATTATGTGACTTTTCCGTACAGACTGTTTTAATTGAAACTCTAAAAAATCAACTCTTAACAAGGAAACAAACTTTGAATGAACAAAAGAAAAATAAATAACTAATAAACTATAAATTATCCTAGTCCAACTCTAAGAAAACCCGTAACTTAAATGTAACCCTTCTTTTTACCCATAATCTTCATGAACACACAATATTCCTTTCCCCTTGAAACAGTCATTGTCCCCAAGGAAAAAAAATTTGTAACTTTAAGTTCATTGCACTAGTTCAGAAAAGAAAGTGTTGACAAATGAAGAAACATTTTGAAAAAGCTAATTTCAATTATAAAATGTGGAAAAAGTGTAAAGGTGAACTGGATGAGCTGGGCGGAAGGAAAGGCTTGTTATGGACTATTGGAATGTTTGTTGTGACTACCAGCAGCTTTACTACGGGTTTGGGTTCAGGTTCAGATTCGGAGGTTTGTAATAGTGATAGAGGCTCAAATATAAATTTAGGTTCAAGTACTTCGTGGGATTAAGAGGATACCAATAATTTGAATAAAGATAATCAAAGTAAAATATAAATTATCTTAATGTAACTCTTAAGATAATCCGAACTTAAATGTAACTCTTCCTGTAGCCATGATCTTCATAAACATGTAGCATGCATATCATACCAAAAAATGAAAATATCTTTTTCAAATGAGTTTCTTACAAGACATATATTCATAGTTAGTTATACTGAAAGTTCCAATTAAAAGACCATACCCACTTCAAACTTGATTTAACAGATAAGTGTTATGGGCTTTATTTTATTTCTCAACAATTTGCCATGTGACTATATAGAAACATGCTTGATAGATGAAAATCACACAACATAAAAGAAAAAAGAAGTCAACATGATTCTCCATATGGAATATAATTTTTAAGTTTTGGGTTTCATTTTATTTCTAGATAGTTTTCCAGATACATCAGGACAGTTGGGACTGCCACAAGGACCACAACATAAAAGAAGAAAGTTGTAATATTAAATTTTCTAAATGGAAGAATTGAAATCTGATTGTGACAATCTAAAGATAATAACCAAAGCGAGGAATTCATTCAAGATACTCGTAAGCACAGGCTAAGCAACATAAGGGCCAAAATAAAACATCCAATAATCCAAAGTCATAAGTTCATTGAATAAGGCAAAGAGTGAACTACCATCAAAAAGCTACATAAGGGTCAAATCCATAAGTTCGGCTTGGAGAAAAAATACCAAGACAAATATTGCTTCAGCCCAAATACATGAACCAAGAGTAGAGGCAAGCACACAATATTGTTTAATGGTTCATATTCAAATAGTTAAAAACAGGCAATACCCCACAACGCACACAGAGACTCATACAAGTCCATTACAAAGGTTTTTCTAGTTCTCACAACGAATATTATTTTATATTCCAAAAGTAAGATATTGTTTACAGATTCTATGTCACCATCCTTTTTTTTTAAAAAAAAAAAAAAAAAATCAAACTCTTGCTTATGTATCAGAATGTTATTTGCAAGGACCTGATTTTCAACTTTAACGAAGAAGCGGAGACACTTAGCCTTGAACTGTCCCTAAACATATCCATTACATTTTTTTTTTGCTCTTGAAATACTTCTAAGTAGATATTAAGGTTTCAAAGTCATTTCCAGTAAAGGAAAAATTGAGCCAAACGCATACCATGCACTAAATTGGTTTAATGACCCTTGATACATTAAACCTCAAGGTCTGTCTTGTTCTCGCTATATATATCACTATATATTCCAAAAATAAAATCATTTATACATTCTATGTTACCTCCCTTTTGTACAAATCATGCTCTTCCTTAATTAAGTATTGAAGCATCATTTGCAACACTCGCATTTCTAGCCCCAACATAGATACAAAGATGCTCAGCAATGAGTTGTCCCTAACAAACTCTATTAAACGCATTTTGAACTTGAAATTTGAGTTGCAACTTTCTCGTAGATATTAAGGTTTCAAAGTCATTTCCATTAAAGGAAAATTTGAGCCAAGTGCTTACCGCACTCTAAATTTAATTTAATGGCCCTTGATATATTAAAGCTTAAGGTTTGTCTTGTTCTCATTACAAACATCACTATATATTCCAAACTCGGATATTATCAACACATTCTACTTTGACATCCTTTTGCTAAAATCAAGCTGTTACTCAAGTACCTAAGCATCATTTGCAAGTACCTTAATTCTAGATCCAATGAATAAGCAAACACACTCAAGCTCTTCAGTATTAAAGTGTCATTTTAAAGTACCTATATTTCCGCTCTTAAGAAAGAAGCAAAAACACTTAGCCTACTTATTGCCAAACAACTCCATTAAATGATTTTTTCACCTTGAAATATTCTTGCTCTAACTAACTTCCAATAATACTCTTGATATGTTAGACCTCAAGGTTTCTCTCGTTCTTACTATAAATATCATTGCAGATTCCAAAATCCCGTATGTTATAAACACATTCTATCTTACCTTCATTTTGTTAAGATCAAGCTCTCACTGAAGTATTGAAGTGTCATTTGCAACATACATTTCTGACTTCAACAAAGAAGCGGAGATACTTAGCCTCGTTTTGTCCTTAAGCGCCTTTGTCAAACACTTTCGGGAAACTAAGATTCCAAACTCCAATTAGCTTTGTAGTAGATATTAAGGTTTCAAAATCGTTTTCCATAAAGGGAAAATCGAGCCAACCATCAAATTGGCTTAATAACCCTTCATATGTTAAACCTCAAGTTGGCAAAAGAAATAAGAGACTGAAGACACTAATCAGATCATAAAAGTACCCAGTCAAATACTTTTAAGGTTGTTATCATTAATTTCTTTAAAAAAAATTGATATTTAGACACACTAGAATTTGAAAATCTTTAAAATTTTCAACAAATTTTGATATTCATGAAAAACCACTTATAAACTCGCCCAGACTCTCTTGGAATTTGTTTGAATTTATTGTTCACAGGGTTTTGATCATTTGGGTAGTTATTTAAATCGTGTCACATGAATTTAGACAAAATTTCAAGGAAAATCATTGATTTTAACTCAAAGTATTTTAAAAGTTAGCCTATCCTAGAAAGTTGGAATTTGACAGCATTTGTTCTAAAAACCCAACACAATTATATTAATTACTTTTCCGTTCCAAAACTATATTATTACAGATTCATTGATTTAACTTTTCTTGTTTATGTCACGTTATCTTTCCCTTTATACATAATGTCTACCCTCGCATTTAATATATTTTCTTTATATACATACAAAATTCCATAAAAGTTCATTAGTTTTAGTTTCTTATGATCATTGACTAATATCAAACGAACATTAAAGAATTTAGAGGCACTTTCCTTTTCTTTTCTCTTATTTCCATATTTAGCTAATTAGATTCATTTACTAAAGCAAACATGACAAATGGAAACACATAAATTCTGGCTATAGTTACTTATCAACCTAAAACATGGTAAGGAAATCCATCAAATGGAAAATCTCACTTCATCTCCTTATAGACAAATAAATTAAGCCTAAAGCCTTGAATGAATTAAAAAAGAAACAGCAATGACTTTTAGAATTTATAGTCCCATTTGGTGTTGTTTTGTGCAACAGGTTTTCATTCTGCAAATCCAAAAGACATGTAACATGAGCTCGGTAGTTGTACTTGAAAAAACAAGCATCAGAAAACACAAAAACAAAATTCCTAAAAACTAATGTTAATTTGGAAAACATACCATAAATGTTTCTGCATTTTAGAAAATACAGATATGACATTTTATATAAGCTAACTCATACAAAAGGGGAAAAAAAAAAGTCTCAACCTTTGCCCTCTTTTAACTACTGTCCTATCTCTTTCTTCCATGTCATTCATTTCTAATAATAGCTGATCATACCCAAGTCTGCAGCATTGAGAAAGACTATGTGACACATGGAGTAGGATCAAAGATTCCCCAGTCACATATAAGTGGTTTTGGGTTGCAATTTTCACCATGAGTGGTACTAGTTGCCAGTTGCCACTCCTTCCCATAAAAGCATAAGCTTTCTTGTATGTCAGCTTTAGTTTATCACTCACAATCATAAGAAGAACCACTTTAACTTTAGACTATAAGAATCACTATTTGCTCCCATCATCAAATAGCTGTATACCAAACACATCAAATTGATTGTCAAACGGTCCCAAATTGGCAGGTTGGCACTGTATAGTGGAAGTCTTCACCAGAGAGGTTCTTGGTATCATGAACTGAGCACAACATCTAACCAATAACGTCTTAAGCTATAGGTTCTAGGCCAATCTATGTTAAAACAGCAATCAGTATCTACATATGTGTATCACATTTTCTCGATTTGAATGGTTAATGACAAATCCATGAACAATCACTTTCTAAATCATAATTTTTTTGGAAATGGCATAATCTTTACATCTTGCATTGGGCCCTAACTCAAACTACTTGGTAAATCTAGTTTCTACAAACATTTATTTGAAAAGAGAAATCTTTGTCTTGATTGATTAATAATCAGATCTACTTTAATATAATGAAAGTTTCCTATTACCAACATTAGAACTGAGATATATCTAGAGTCTAATCTCCATAAAGTTCATTCACTCTAATTTTAACTGGAAGTTTGAGGACTAAAAAAAAAAAAGGAAAAAGAAAGAAAGAAAAGGGAAAGAATGCAAACAAGAGTATAGGAGCTCCAACATAGTATACATATAATCTGAAATGATCAAAACAAGAGGAGAGGAAGAAGCAAACTATGCATATAACATAAAGAAAATGCATATACAAGGAACTTAATATCCATGCCTACTTTCTAGAAAAGATACAAGATCATTTTCCCCCCTTACAATAAAGGATAAGAGAATTGTTTGTTCTGGTTAGAGAAAAAGGAGACTTACCTTCAAAAGATGGAGATAATTTATGATAAGTGAGGAAACATGCAGATAATTCCCTTACATTTCTCATTGTTGGAATCTGATAGATGGGATACCTAGATAAACAACAAAGAATTATTTAAGAATTTTTTGACTTACATATCTAGTAATCCAAATAAGATATCTCAAATTCTCAATAACTATCTTTAGGTAATGAATAAAATAAACAAAAATGTGATTTTTAATCAATGGCCAAATTAACGTTGTAAAGGGATTAATTGTAACACTAAGCAAAATTTCATTCGGGAAAAGCCTCATAATTGTAGAATGTCTAACATACCAAGCAATGGCCATCCAACTATAAAGAGAGATATCTGTGCTTTTGAATTTCAACAATCTTGGGTAACCTTGAGATAACTCATTGATCTGATTAAACACGTAAAAACAAAAACACATATTGAATTGTTTGAGCTTCATCTTTAATAGAAATGAAAACCAAACTAAAATGATTAAGTACCTTTTCTGTAAACGGGAGTCTGTAATAAGGACTTGATATCTCATTGTATTGGCAGTACAGCAAACCAAGTTGATCTTCTATTTTTGGTGCTCCATAGTACTGGTTATTGATTGAATCATCTAAATTTGGATTAGCATCTGCATTCCTACTTAATTAAAAGTGTAATTCACCTCAAAATTAGAATTTGCATTCATATATATACATAATTCAACATAAATTAATGGTGTAAAGTGTAAACTTAGATAGAAAACCTGATTAAAGGAATGGAGGGTCTGGCAGCGTTAGTATATATCTGGAGGGCTGATAAGGAAGGAGAATAATATTGTACCACACTCTCATAACCGTCCAACATAAGAGGGACACTTGCACCATAACTGCTCCATTCAACATATAAATTCCAGAGATCACTTAAGGAGAAGCAATCCGCTTCATCTTTTACTAAGGGCTGCCAGAAGCCATTGAAGATTTCAAAACAATCGTAATAGTTAAAGACTTAGGAATGGCTACTTTTTCATAATATAAGAAAAATGTTAATTAAACCAAATGCTTTTTCAACAGTAACTGTCACTCCTAATACTCATTCTGAAACACTTTACTGTATCACCTAAAAGGTAAAAATTTTTTTAAGAATATAAATTCCACTAACAAGCATCTTCAAGCAGTTTTATAATACATAAATAAGATATTAAAACTCAAGAATTCGATTCAAATGGAATATAAATCAACTATCATTCATCTGTACAAATTAATTGTTTAAAAAGTGGAAATTTATTAGAATGAAAAGGTAACATTTAACCAAAAAAAAAAAAAAAAATTAACCTTACCAACCATACAACTGTTGGCAATTTCTATTCCAAGTTCAAATTTTCACATGACTTGAAATAGTCGTTTTAATTCACCAAAAAAGAAAGGAAAAGGTAAAGGGAAAATCTTAACCCTTCACTCACAAACATGTCTAATCATCACAAGGGAAATTAGAGACATTAAAAGTGAAAATAGAATTTATTACCGTTTGCTGGAGATGGGTAGTAAGTGTGGGAGTAATACATTCAAGAAAGCATTGAATGTTGGAGTGGGTAGAACTAAGTGGGTATTGTAAGTCCCAGTAAGAGAATGGCATGACTAATGGTAGATGCTGCTTTCTCAAGGAGGAGAAAAAAAGAGAGGAAAAGAAGAAAATTGTTGAAAGTTTTAGAAATTAGTGTTTAAAGTCCCCTTCTCATTAAAAAAAAAAAAAAAAAAAAAAATTAATTAAACTTAATTAGTCACTTGCATGCTTGTTTCCACAAATGGCATACAACAGTACATCCTTATCGACTCCACCACAAAACTTTTCACAATTTCCTTTTCCACATTCAGTTTCTCCTCCCTTCACCCATTATCAAAGTTTTGTTTCTTTTTTCTTATCATTAATTAAGGTTCATTTCCTTTACTAATATATGAAGGAAAGAGAATTACTTTAATTTCCATGCGTTTAACATAATTGGCATCGAACCTAGCAATATAACAAAATTAAATGAAGGATCCAGGTTGAAAAACATTATTGTTTGACATCCATGCACTTTCCCATTTGTGGACCTGCAAATAAAGCAGAAGACAATTATTTAACTTAAATTTGGACAAAACCACCCCTTGGTTTTGATTCCAAATGAGTGAGAGCCTACTGGATTAGAAAACAAGACAATAACTCAAGTCAAAAATAGTTTTCTTCTAAACCACTTTGATTCCCATGGTTTTGTTTTCAAAAGCCTTAGTGGTTTCAGATAAATCAAGCTTATCTAATCTCTGCCAAATGACACAAAATAACTGTTGACAAGTGTTAGGGCAAAGCATACCTTGATTTTTTGAATAGAAGTTTCATTATTTGGCTTCGTCTTCTTCCCCAAATGACATGAGTGCTGTACATACTCTTTTCACAAACCCCATTAACCATGAATTTCGTTTCCAGTGGGAGAAGCTTAAAGCTTTGGCTTCCCATTTGATTCTGCTACCAAAATTAAGAATTTAAGATCAGAAGAATCCGAAATATAACCTCAGAATCCCCAAAAATAACCTTTTGCGATTTCAAATTCAAATATCGTAATGAATTTTGATTTTAAGAGACCAAAAAAATCATTTTTAATTATTGACAAATTCAGTAAATAATAAAAGATAATTTTTGTGGGCCCCCCCACCAAAAAAAAAAAAAAAACAAAGTCAACTTGACCTTAATATTAAGGATTGCTAATGAAATCGGTTTTCCTTAATTAGTTAGCGTAACTCTTCTTCACTACTCTTTCCCTCCTCTTCCAATTTGCCATTTTCAGTATCTTTGAGTTTTGGGATATGATGATACTGGGTTTGAACAATGTTGAAGTTGGGATCTCTGATTAAAATTCTGAAATCTCCTCCCAAAATAAACATAGGTCATGAAGCTCATCAATATAAGTCCTCCGACTCCGAACGTTCATATTAGAACCTAGAGTGGGAAAAATTCTCTAGAATTAAGTATATGTATCGAGTGTTGATCATTGTTTTAAAAATCGGACCGGAAGGCAATCCGCTCTGATAGCCGAGTCACGGTTCAACCGGTTGGACCATCAGTTGGACCGGTGACATCATCATACATCATAATGACGTTAGCACATTTTTAAAAAAACTTTTTTTTTTTTAGATTTCTATTTTTTAATAACACAATAACAACTTAATTACCATCCAACATGATTCAAAGTTCAAATTCAACAACAATCCTAACATAATTTAAGTATTTAACAACAATTCAAAGTCCAAATTCAAATATGATATTGTATTTACATATTAAATGACAAAACAAAATACATAATAATTAATAACAAAATATTTGATGCAAGTGTTTTTTCTTTGATCCGTCTCCATGTTAATTGAACTTCACACATTATCATCAAAATTCATCACCATCATTATCATCATATTGTGTATGTTTCAGAACTTGAGATGTCCTACAAAATCTTGAATATTGTGTATGCAAAGGCTACTGTCTTTACCTTATAGCTTGCCAACATGAATGTCCTACAAAATCGCACATCACCTAGAGCCTATACACCCTGCAGCTAACACGACTATATACAGAAGCATAAGAACATTTTACTCCATAAGATCAATCCCAAATTTGTCAAAAACTATGCTACCTTTGATAAAGGTCAAATTAGAGTAACACAATTGAACTGACCAGTATGTTTTGAAGAAGACTATATATATTGACACAACTATACACACATTACAACCTTTCAAATGATTGTCTACCGTATTTCTAATTGCTGAATGCACAATTCATAAGGTAATAGTTAATTTCTAAAAGCACAGAGTCCAATAGACTATAGTTAGAAATGTAGCATTTTCGTTACCCTAGTTGGCAAGAGAACCATGAACTGGTGGAGTTGCAAAGAACTTCATCTCAGGACATAGATTGTATTGACCTTCTTTGCACTGATTGCATCGCCAGCAGCTGATCCCTGGTTCTAGGGCCACACGATCACCGGGCACTAAAGTCTTCACTTCATTTCCCACCTCCTCTATGATCCCAACACACTCATGATCAATCACCATAGGCTCTTTCACAACAAAATCTGCACATCTCAAGGTCTGAAACATACACAATATTCAGAGTTCTCAGTTAAGAATCACCATAGGCTCTTTCACAACAAAATCTGCACAACAAAATTCATTGATTATTGCTCCAGATTAAGTTTGCAACGAAATCATTATTGATTATTGAAGCTGGATCGAAGAATGGCGTGTTTATTATCTGGATCGATAAATGGAGCTGTCGTCAACGAATGGAGATGTCACCATCGATTTCCAGCGAGGAACAGAGCTGTCGTTGTCGATTTCCGGCGAGGGAGGAAGACGTCATCGTCGATTTTAGAGAGTTCAGATGCGATTTGGGTGGGATTTCAGAGAGAAATCTTCGTAGAGAACAAACAACGGAGACGAAGTTGAAAATTTTTTTTAGAGAAGAGAGAAGAAGCTGAGAAATTTGCGTAAGAAACTGCAAAAGAGATGAACTGATCGCGAATACGCAATGAGAAGAAGGCTGCGTGTATCAGGTTTAGGGATTTTTAATTGGATTGGTTTATCAATCGGTCCAGTTGGACCGACGATTCGCTAAAAATATCCAGTTTTTTAACGATTTAACGCGATCCATTATATTATAACGGTTTTAGGATTGACCCGAACTGGACACGTGACCTGTTCCCAGTCCAACCGGTTGGACTGGCCGGTCCGGTCCAACTTTTAAAACAATGGTGTTGATCAGAATATTACAAAGAGGGCTTGCTTCAAATGCTGGTAATGGAATGGATACAAATAACTTCTGCGAACAGAGCTACATGATACACCCTCAAATTATAAAGATCCTCGCCTTTTGAGGTATCTTGTAAAGTCAAAGATATTATCCAGTATTTTTACTTGGCAGTTGGCACTTAATTCCAAACCATTGCATTAGCTGCCAAAACAAGATTACACCATGCTCAATATAAACTCAGCTTGCTCTATTTCAAGATTTGAATAAGTTGAGAATCCATGTGTTAAGAGTTTTGTATATTCACGTTGAAAACAATAGTTAGATCAAAAAAACACGCAAAAAGTTATATCTGGACAAGCTACACATTGGGTTAGAAGGAAATATAAAGTGGATGGATTCTCGCCAAGCAGGTACAGAGTTGATAGTTGCCAAAGCCAGCAGCAGGTACTATTAGCCCTATGATCCAGTTAATTTAGTAGTAGTTAATGCCTCCACTTAGCAATGTACATGGAGGACCCAGGGCATGGAAAGAAATCAAATACTGGTTCTTTCTTGCACCAAAACATTTCAATTCCACAGCAACTTAAAGAATTTAACCCATGCTAAGTTGAAACAAGCTGCATTTCCACTCAGCATGATTTCACTCATGAAACTTCTTGGAGTGCTAAACTCAATTCTTGAGCAGATTTTGCGACAGAACCCCCTCTTCTACAGGGAAAAAAAAAGAATGAAAACAAAACAAAACAAAAACAAAGAATGACATCTCCACCATTACTCATTGAAATATCCAACGAACAGAAACCATAATAAGATAATAGTATTACCAACCTAGTCAGAATCGGCAAGCAGCGCTTGACTTTTTCCAGCTCTATAAAGCAAAGGTTGCAGCGTTCCATCCTACAATACCAAGTAAGCATTAGAATGTCATACCATTTAAATAAACTACTTTCCTGTCTATGAACTGAACACGAAAATTTGAGACAAAACTGCACAAACCTTTGCTCAGCCTCAATATCGACGCCAACAGACGTTGATGCTGACAATGTTGAATAGATCATCGAGCCAAATATTCTAACAAGTTTAAGCAGCATGTCCAGAGAGATGCTTAAATGCCTAAATATGGACAAACTGTTAAAATGCTGATATCTCAACTCACAAAATTAATGATAGTATTTTATTTTGCATTTAAAATCAAGCAGGTTGTCTCAAGCTAAGGAAAATGAAAATTTTGAGTCAATGTCCTCCTCTCCATCAGAATCTACGTTCAGAAAAGGAACTACGAATTTATACATTCATACAAAGGAAACTAAGAAGTTCTTAATGAAAAGATATAAGCACAAGTAATAGAAGAGTTTTATGGAGAATTCCTGGCTTGTTTTGGAATCCAAAAAGGACTGAAAATATTTCACTGAGACAGGATTTTAACTTCTCACTTTTGCAAATTCATAGCTCTCACTTAATACAAAGAAATGACTCAAGGATTGGAAAAAGATATGTAGCAATGAATAGATCAGGAAAAGTGGGATTGACTATTGGAATAATACACCAACAACAGGAAAATATCACAATCCTTTTACCTATCCATGTCACTTTCAAGAAGACCTGACAGAAGAGGGAGAAGACAACTGCAAATATCCAACGTCACTATGTCAATTTTCTCTGTCATAATGCTCATTACATCAGCAAGGACCTACAATTTACATGACAAAGGAAGCAGATGATGGGCTCTTCAACAATGAGTGTGAGGAAACAAATATTCGTTTCAACATCCGATCTTTGAAATGGATGAATATATTATTCAATAACAAGCTCTTACAGCATCATCAGCCATCTTTTGCATAGCACTAATGGCCCCCTTAAAATCGTTCCTTTCCCAGTATCTAGAAACTACCTACATAAGGTCAAGCAAATGTTAGCAAATGCAATAAAACAATATCTATATCAAGAGATTATTAGTCATTGCAACACCACTATTTTTGTGGCAGTAAAGCAGATTAAAAAATTAAACAAGACAGCACTCCGATTACTTAAACTGTTAAAATAAATAAACACAAATCATGGTCTAAAAACTCTTCACATGAGCGTGAAGAGTAAGGCTATAGTTAAGAATAAGGAACCTAAGGAATATTTATGAGTATGAATTGGAGAGATTCTAAGATATAGATTCTACAATGTCAAAGCATTGGGATAATTTGATGGCTCAAGAAAAGTTAAATGAAGTATGCACAACTTATGCTTCAGAAAGGACCCTGGCATAGAATTAATACTAAATATGGGAAAAATAAAAAGGCCAGAACCAAAGAATTACATAGCAGAAATTTAGATAGAAACATGACTAGCTTGGTTAACTTAGAATTTTGCTAAAAATAAAATCTATTGAAAATAATGTTTTGATTTAACAACATATATATAATAAAAAAGGTAAAGCTATTTAGCCAAAACTAAATAAGTAGCGCATATATATTTATCAGAATACTGTGCTACTCAACAAATAGTAATTGAACAAAACACCAGAGTAGGAAACAAAAATGCTAGAGAAACAACAGAAGTTCTTGAAAAATATTAGAAGGATTTCAGAACACCTAAGTCCCATTCAACACCTTGAGCAAGACGGTTAACAACCAGTCTAATTTAATAAAGGTCAGATGAAGAACACTCTCCAAGATGATGTGTCCTAAAATTGAGAAAGATTTGAAATCATACTACAGAATTTCAAGCTTCGTATGAGAGTAACTTCTCATAACATTCATGCTTCAAAAGAACCAAAGAGTTTTATGGTATCTATTAGCATAACTTTGTTGAAGATTACCTGTAACTTAGCCAAACGGGACTGCATAGAGCTGACAAACTGATCATGTGGTTCCATTACATCTGCACTAGCATCCTCATCGCTAGCATAAACCATTTCTTTTTCGACAGGTGCAGTATATCCTCTCTGTTTAAGCTTTATGTCATTAAGCGACAAAATAGAAAAAATTAGCGCACAGCAAGAAAGTTAAAAGTTGAAAATAAAAATTTAAAAACACAAAGATATTTGTTGAAGAAGAGACATAGTTAAGGGCCACTCCATACTAATTACAATTTTCAGTTAAAAATACAGCATACAAAGTTAATTTGTAAATTTTAACAACCTATGGGAAACATGCCATTAATAATCTATGGATGCCTTAGATGGCATATTAAGTGGATCACTGTAACTTCATATTAAAGGTACATTTGCCTCATTCAAGGCTGAAGTGAAAAAGTTTAGAAGGATTTCTCCAGATTGTAATGGGTCCACCTATTGTAATATATACACAAGGAGCATATTTATAACCCAAAACATTGACCAGAGAAAAATATTATTAGTAGCTTCAAACAAAACACAAAAGATAATACACGCTATTTTAAGGAAGTGATGCTCGTTGGCCAAAGGCTCTGCATGATGATAGATAGTCTCTCTGTCCCCAGATCAGTTTAGGAAGCAGCTTCCCAGCCCCAAACCCCCCAAACTTTATGCACATTAGCAGGCCTTATGCTGTCAATAACCACCTTCTCTCTTAGAGTCCACCTTGTCAGGTCTATGTCCCTCCATCACACCCTTCCTCATTATGTGTGAAAACTCTCTCCATCAGATTCTTTGTGAAAGGAGCCAAACTCAGAAAAGATTGTATGAATAAGCTATTTTGAAAAAGTCGATGCACCTTTGGTTCACTATTCCATCGATAAAAATTGAAGCAAGCCATTTGAGGTAGTTTGATTACACTATTGGAGATGTTGTGGAGATGAAGCTTTCCTCTCTCTACTAGTTTTTTATAGTATGATATATTGTTTCTTGTTATTTATGGGTAATGCTAAAACTTGTAGGGAATTGGTTTTCTTTTGGCTGTTAGTCTGATATCCTGAGCCAGGAACAGATAATTTCTGATTAAACATGATAGCATAAAACATATTAAGAACTTAACTAATTAGCTTTTGTTCTATTTCTAGCAATTTTCCTGAAAACTGGCCAACTGAAAAAGACAGAAAAATGTGCAAAATGATAATGATGAGTGAGAAATTCTCAGCAGAAAATGAAGCAACACGAAGACATAACAAAATGAAGACACTAATAATCCAAAAAGTTCAAGGTGTCAGTACAAAAAAGGTTCATTGTACACACATTAGCTCTTTTTCCACTTTCCTTTTTATTTTTCTCTTTATCCAGTAGGAACCAGTGGTCTACCCCTTTTTTTAAGTTAACGTCAAATAAAAAAATACAATTACTGGATAGAAATACAAATTTACAGGGAAAAAAAAAAAAAAATTGAAATAGGACTTGTAGCAAAATATCTTTTCAAAAAATTATCTCTTCAAAAAATTATCTCTTTCTTCAGAAAATGTTCATTGACATTGGTAAGGAAAATATATAATGCAGTAGTCTCCTCTAAAAACTACAGTTAGTATGCAACTCTTCTTTGTCTGTAGCCAAAATAAAAAATAAAATAAAATGTGTTTGTACCGCATTGAACGGAGGCATGCTTCCAGTAGATACTGTCCCTTGGGAAATACCGGAAGTCGGTCCCTCAAAATTAGGAGATCTTCCTCTTGTCTCCCAATTTATGACAAGTGAACGCATTCTTCCTAAATTTTTTTTCAGAATGTACGAGGAGTTAGACACCAATAGACTGCTTATAACCATAAACCAAGAATGAGGAAAATCTATACCTCTTTTTTGACTTTCCATTGGAAAAGCATCTCTGGTTGATTTATTGCCCAAACTATCATCTGAAATACACATTTAGAGCTCTAGAGTTAAAAGTTAAAAATTTCCTTCAAGTGATCAATGTATACAAATTATATAAATACTACAACAAACATTCTCAAAAAGAGGCTACCAATCATCAAACATCTGAACACATGAACTGAAATTCAAGCAACACAAGTAATGGCAAAAAAGCTAAAGATAATGACAGAATTTTTTTTATAGCAATTAGGATGACCTTTAAAGGGCAAACATGTCTGTGTAAAACCATATTAAATGGGAATTAAGACTCAGAAATTTTATAGTAACTATCAGGCCAGGTGACCTAGACATATATTTGAAATTGCAATATATGGTCTATCTGAATACCAAAAGATGAAACTATGCACATGCAAGAAGATAAAGAAAAATCATATAACCTTCATAAGCAAACTACTGACGAACGTGAAGCCCAAAATGAAATTTAAATTGAAGGTAAAAAGAATATTTGGAAGGTCTGTATACATACATCTTTCATCGTGGTAGCTAGCAGGAGACTCCGACATTGACATTGATTCACTCTTACCAGATATGACAAACCTATCATCCTTCATGTTCCTTTCAGCAGCAGATGCTCCCTGGACTGAGCCTTTAACTGCAGGGTAGGTATTCCTATCTGCAACACTACTCAATTCAGAAGCCTTAGGGCCTGTGGTTTCAGAGAGAACAGGGAGAGTTGGCCGGTCAACCTCATCTCCACTATTTGGAAACTTCCGGAAATCAGCTGTCTTAGATTGCAAAGAAAATGGCATTGTTCTTCCAACAATGTCAACTTCTTTTCTGGATTCAGCTGCTTGCTCAAACCTAGTATTTGTTCTAGGGACAATTACAGGTACAATATCTGACTTGTTCAAGATTGAAACGTTGGATGTTGAGTTGACCTTTGTAGAATTCCTCTTTGAGACTGTTGCACTAGGAGCTGTCACAGAACTGGCTATACTTGTCTTTGGACCTGTGTTTAAATTGACCCTTTGAGGGGTACCAGGTACACTTCCTGTGGCTTCAACCAGGACAGAGAACCAAGAATGAGATAAATATGTCACACCATGGACAAAGAAAGAAAGTTCATACCAAGAAGTAGGCAAAAAGAAAAAAGAAAAAAATAAGAAGATAAGATACAATAGAATAGAACAGAATATAAAGCTAAAATCACCAGTAAACTTTAAAACATAAAATGAGAGTAACATACATGACAAAAATTTTGACTCCTTAACAGGATCTGAATTTTGAGAAACAGACAACCTTCCAAGAGATTTTGTTTCCTTCACCAAGGGATCTGAATTTTGTGAAACAGATAACCTTCCCAAACTAGCCTTTCCAGTGTTCTCATTTAGAACTGAGAAATTCCCACCTGAACTAGATTTAGATTCTGAATGGCCATTTGATCGGGTAACACTGCCAACAGCATATGGCTCTATGCGCTGTGTGTGAGGTAAAAAAATGCAACACATCGGTTTAAAAATGAGATCAGTTACAACCAGCACTAGAAAACAAGTAAAAGGACCAGCAAGAGCAAAGAAAAATAAGTAATACCGAGATGTCTACAACCCACACTCCCACACAACTTTGATTATATGAGCAGCCGAGGAGTTTGCCCTCATGAACATTAAGATCTGACAATCTTGACCATCCCACATCCACACCATCATGACACATTATTGGTTCCCAGGAGAAAACCTGCATTGAGATAGATAAAAAGTAAATAAAAAAACAAGTCAAAATGGAACATATCCTAGTATAAGATGTGTATGGTAAAAGGGATGAAACTATAAAGAGGACTTACCTTCAAACTTTCATGCAATCCACAAAGTAAGGTCCTCCCATCTGGATTAAAGGTCAAGCAGCGCACTCCAGTGGTCTGTAGTAAAGAAGAAAATTTACACAGACATTCTCATGTTATCTTATTGATGTTGGAATCCACAAAAATTCAAACAATTACCCCATAAGGCATAAAATTACCTCAGGGCCACCTGAACCAATTAGCTCAAATGTTTCAAGGTCCCAAAATTTCACAGTCCTATCAGCTGAACCTGAGCAAAGGCAAAAGCAAAATATCACATAAATCAAGCAAACACCAAGTGGCATATTTGCTGTAAACAGTATTGCATTGGAGTGACTAGAGTAAACATGAGAAAAGAAATGGATATGCACACAAGTTTTATGAAAATGATGTTCTTAAAACCTAAGATCACCTCATGCTCTCTTTACTAAAAGTTTTGCATAAATGACAGAACCAACATCAATACATAACCAAAAAGGCAATACTTGACAGGAAACAAAAGTAAAACACTGGAAATTTAAGAACATTCACATATTATTTCTCGTAATTTGAAAGAACAGAATATGGAGGAGCCAATCACCAGGTGTTCAACTCACCAAACTGTAATATTCATTTTGACTAACTCCGCATCAAGCAATTTCTTAGTGACAACGCCTATACCAATATACCTTATAAAGTTTGTAGCTTCGTATTCACTTATGGGTTATCTCTACATGTACTTTGGACAGGAAGGGGGAGAATACAAGGGGAAAGCACCCAGAAATAAACATATAAACAATCTCTCAATAGTGACTATTACTACCAAAAAAATATTAATAAAGTAATAAACAAGGAATGGATTAAATTGCAGAACTAATCAAATTGTAAATAAATTATATTTGCAATGCAAAATTATTTGTAGAAAGAGAGAAATATAACTAACCTGTTGCCAGCAGAAATTCATGAGGATGAAAATCAATACACTGAACCTGACCTTCATGACATTTGAAGTCATGCAACAGCTTTCCAGCAGTGAGATCCCACAGCTGTTAAGATTGTGTACCCAAATCAACCAAAAAATTTATATATGAGCAAATGCATTTATCTCTATCATATAACTGTGGATGAATGGACATATATACCTGACATATACAAATGATTCATATTACATCAATTCCAAAAACACCTGGACTATAAGGAAAGAAGTTCTAACCTTCACGGTATTGTCCTCTCCTCCAGATACAACCCAACGACCATCTGGAGTAAATCTGATGGCATTCACCCCTCGGGTATGGCCCTTGTACGTGTGGATACATCCCTTCTTTCTGATATCCCATATCTTAAGATTTGTGTCAAGAGAGCCAGATGCAAAGAATTCCCCAAATGGATGGAAGTCCACAGATATGCAGTTGGATCTGTGACCAGTAAGTGTGCGAACAACTACAAAAAATAATAATAATAATAATAATAATAATAATAATAATAATGCAACAGAATAAATATAATCAAGATAGATATAATTTGTTGAATGAAGTTGAAAGAACTTTTTTGCAAAATTGAGAAGCTTACTCTTTGCCTCTTCTAAATCCCAAAGCTTGATTGTACCACTTGCCGCTCCAGCAGCTACTAAAACTTCTGAAGAATCAAAGCTTACAGAATCGATTCCACTTGTATGTCCAGACAGACTCTGAAAAATGTGAGAAGAATTCCTCTTTGAGACTGTTGCACTAGGAGCTGTCACAGAACTGGCTATACTTGTCTTTGGACCTGTGTTTAAATTGACCCTTTGAGGGGTACCAGGTACACTTCCTGTGGCTTCAACCAGGACAGAGAACCAAGAATGAGATAAATATGTCACACCATGGACAAAGAAAGAAAGTTCATACCAAGAAGTAGGCAAAAAGAAAAAAGAAAAAAATAAGAAGATAAGATACAATAGAATAGAACAGAATATAAAGCTAAAATCACCAGTAAACTTTAAAACATAAAATGAGAGTAACATACATGACAAAAATTTTGACTCCTTAACAGGATCTGAATTTTGAGAAACAGACAACCTTCCAAGAGATTTTGTTTCCTTCACCAAGGGATCTGAATTTTGTGAAACAGATAACCTTCCCAAACTAGCCTTTCCAGTGTTCTCATTTAGAACTGAGAAATTCCCACCTGAACTAGATTTAGATTCTGAATGGCCATTTGATCGGGTAACACTGCCAACAGCATATGGCTCTATGCGCTGTGTGTGAGGTAAAAAAATGCAACACATCGGTTTAAAAATGAGATCAGTTACAACCAGCACTAGAAAACAAGTAAAAGGACCAGCAAGAGCAAAGAAAAATAAGTAATACCGAGATGTCTACAACCCACACTCCCACACAACTTTGATTATATGAGCAGCCGAGGAGTTTGCCCTCATGAACATTAAGATCTGACAATCTTGACCATCCCACATCCACACCATCATGACACATTATTGGTTCCCAGGAGAAAACCTGCATTGAGATAGATAAAAAGTAAATAAAAAAACAAGTCAAAATGGAACATATCCTAGTATAAGATGTGTATGGTAAAAGGGATGAAACTATAAAGAGGACTTACCTTCAAACTTTCATGCAATCCACAAAGTAAGGTCCTCCCATCTGGATTAAAGGTCAAGCAGCGCACTCCAGTGGTCTGTAGTAAAGAAGAAAATTTACACAGACATTCTCATGTTATCTTATTGATGTTGGAATCCACAAAAATTCAAACAATTACCCCATAAGGCATAAAATTACCTCAGGGCCACCTGAACCAATTAGCTCAAATGTTTCAAGGTCCCAAAATTTCACAGTCCTATCAGCTGAACCTGAGCAAAGGCAAAAGCAAAATATCACATAAATCAAGCAAACACCAAGTGGCATATTTGCTGTAAACAGTATTGCATTGGAGTGACTAGAGTAAACATGAGAAAAGAAATGGATATGCACACAAGTTTTATGAAAATGATGTTCTTAAAACCTAAGATCACCTCATGCTCTCTTTACTAAAAGTTTTGCATAAATGACAGAACCAACATCAATACATAACCAAAAAGGCAATACTTGACAGGAAACAAAAGTAAAACACTGGAAATTTAAGAACATTCACATATTATTTCTCGTAATTTGAAAGAACAGAATATGGAGGAGCCAATCACCAGGTGTTCAACTCACCAAACTGTAATATTCATTTTGACTAACTCCGCATCAAGCAATTTCTTAGTGACAACGCCTATACCAATATACCTTATAAAGTTTGTAGCTTCGTATTCACTTATGGGTTATCTCTACATGTACTTTGGACAGGAAGGGGGAGAATACAAGGGGAAAGCACCCAGAAATAAACATATAAACAATCTCTCAATAGTGACTATTACTACCAAAAAAATATTAATAAAGTAATAAACAAGGAATGGATTAAATTGCAGAACTAATCAAATTGTAAATAAATTATATTTGCAATGCAAAATTATTTGTAGAAAGAGAGAAATATAACTAACCTGTTGCCAGCAGAAATTCATGAGGATGAAAATCAATACACTGAACCTGACCTTCATGACATTTGAAGTCATGCAACAGCTTTCCAGCAGTGAGATCCCACAGCTGTTAAGATTGTGTACCCAAATCAACCAAAAAATTTATATATGAGCAAATGCATTTATCTCTATCATATAACTGTGGATGAATGGACATATATACCTGACATATACAAATGATTCATATTACATCAATTCCAAAAACACCTGGACTATAAGGAAAGAAGTTCTAACCTTCACGGTATTGTCCTCTCCTCCAGATACAACCCAACGACCATCTGGAGTAAATCTGATGGCATTCACCCCTCGGGTATGGCCCTTGTACGTGTGGATACATCCCTTCTTTCTGATATCCCATATCTTAAGATTTGTGTCAAGAGAGCCAGATGCAAAGAATTCCCCAAATGGATGGAAGTCCACAGATATGCAGTTGGATCTGTGACCAGTAAGTGTGCGAACAACTACAAAAAATAATAATAATAATAATAATAATAATAATAATAATAATGCAACAGAATAAATATAATCAAGATAGATATAATTTGTTGAATGAAGTTGAAAGAACTTTTTTGCAAAATTGAGAAGCTTACTCTTTGCCTCTTCTAAATCCCAAAGCTTGATTGTACCACTTGCCGCTCCAGCAGCTACTAAAACTTCTGAAGAATCAAAGCTTACAGAATCGATTCCACTTGTATGTCCAGACAGACTCTGGATTATAGAAAGGAAATGATAGTTTAGCAGAAAGGGCATTCACCATGTTATTTGGTTTTTCAGTATGTGTCCTTAGTACCAATAATTAAAACTATCAAGTCTAGCACTTAGTACAATACAAGTTTGGACAGGAACTTTTCTTTTGTGTGTGTCCTCTGAGACATGTATATTTATATAAAATAAAAATAAAAATAAAAGAAATATAGAAAGAGAACTGACCAGAATGGCATTGGGTTTACCAATGGCCCAGAGATTGACCTTGTGATCTTCACCTCCAGTGACCAAAACCCTCGATGACTTCCTTCCAATCTTGAGACAATTGACTGTAGAAGAATGTGCTACAAATTCCTCTAAAAACAAATTGTTCTAGTCAAGGGAACTAAACTCATCACCATAATAACAGTAATGATAACAAATTAAAGATTAAAAGAGAAGAGATCTGACGAAGCAAATTGTTTTTAAAACCCTAGAAGGATACGTAGCTTGTAAGCGCGTTTGGTAGTCATTTTGAATGGAACAGCGGAAAATCTGAAAATTTTAGGGTGTGCTGATCTTCCTCATGTCACTGAAAGATCAAAAAAAGTGAAAACTGAGAGATCAGAACGAAGGAAAAAAAAAGAAAAAGAAAAAAGAAAAAGAGGAAGAAAAGAGTGAAGGACACAGATAAGCATACCAGTAGCTGAGAGTTAGGTTGAACGGCAAGGCAATGGCGGTGATTTCGGTTGAGATTTCTCGTAAGGTAGTAACCGTACTAGTAGAGAAGTAGTAAGTCATAAGCATCCAAAAATTTTAACAAAGAAACAAGAATGCAGGTAAGGTAACTGTATTTGAATTATTTCAAAGTAAAATGGACTAAAACAAATTGATTATTTATTAGTCATAGAAGAAAGAGAAGAAGAGAAGAAACAAATTGTAAATGTGCAACTCGTTCAAACTAAACTCAATTTACAGCAGCAAATTAAATTAATCCAATCCCTAGATGAGAGGAAGGAGAAGGAGGAGGAGGAGGGAATGTAATTAATAAAATAAAAAAGACAAAAATATTTGAAATAATATTGGGTGAAAATAGATTGTGAAAGAGATAGAAGGCCCATGGTGAAAACTACCTACCCTCTTTCCTGAAGTTGGAAGGTTGGACCGTCTGTCCACCATCCGGGTCCGGGTCCAGGTTCAGCCCAAGCTAGAGCTCCCTCCCACTTCAACTCAAAATTGAAAAATATTAATCAGCAGAACCCCACCACTTCATATTTTATGTATCTACCTTTATTTATCTATTATCATTTCTTCTTTCTGTTACTTTTTTCTTTTTTTTTTTATTTGGGGGTTGAATTAAACTATATGTTGTGGTTGCAGTGTCTTTCGCTTCTTTTCTTAATTAATGGGTGGGAACCACTTAATAATTATTATCACAAAAACTTAATATTCACTGCCTCCATTATAACATTAGTGGAACAAATACATCATCACGGGATGTGAACAGAACATTAACCATTAGGAATTAGAACAGGAGATTCTTATGCCTCGAATATAATCTTGTTGCTTTAAGTGCTGGCATCAAACACCAAGTTCTAAATTTCATCAATCAATAATATGGTTTAAGTCTCCTAACATCTTTGCAAGTAAATGTAAATCTCTTTCTCATCACCGCTCACACCTACTTCAATCGTTTCTTGTTTAGTGAAACATCCAACCCACTTTCAATTAAATTTTCAAACTCATTCTCTGCTCATAATGTTACCTTATATGGAAAAATATTATTACTAACCGTAAGACGTTATGTATGATAATATAAAATAATTAGGTCATGGTAATGCATTTCTCCTTTTCAATTTTTATAAATATTGCATACAAACAAGTTACCAGCACACGAACTAATTATATATTTGTAAAATCCTCTATGTACTATGAGTTGCTATGGATCATATCATGAACGCTCAGGACATTGATATTTTCATCAAGGCTCATGCCGTCACATCCACAATCACAACTTGAGATTTGCCAAATCAATATTGACAATTTCCACATGAACTGCAGGAGACAATGAGCACATCCATATTAAAATTGTTGAGGTTTCTAAATTTGATTTCTTTCTTTATGCTCGTATCTTTTGTAGATGAAAGAATACAAAGCTTACTTGGGTATAATTGATGCAGCGACGGAAAACAGAGAGAAAAAGATGATCAGCTCATCATTCTGCATTCCTCTGTAAAAATCTATAAACCACAACCGCTACGTTTTCGCTCAACCCAATAGTAGAAAGACAACAAGATGAAATGACGGAAAACACACAGAAAAAGATGATCAGCTCATCATTCTGCATTCCTCTGTGAAATCTATAAACCACAACCGCAACATTTTCGCTCAACCCAATAGTTAATAGACACCAAGATGAAAATGACGGAAAACACAGAGAAAAAGATGATCAGCTCATCATTCTGCATTCCTCTGTAAAATCTATAAACCACAACCGCAACGTTTTTGCTCAACCCAATAGTTAATAGACACCAAGATGAAGATGACGGAAAACACAGAGAAAAAGATGATCAGCTCTTCATTCTGCATTCCTCCGTAAAAATCTATAAACCACATCCGCAACGTTTTCACTCAACCCAATAGTTAATAGACACCAAGATGAAAATGACATTCTAAATCATCAACAGATCTGTATCACTTTTCAGTAAGCATCATTAAAATCATATTTGTTGGACTGGAAACCAAGATGACTTACAAGAGTCTACGAATATAAAACAATAAGCAGCCAACTAGACAAATAAAAGCCAATGCAGTGAGATGCCAGTGACCTGTAAAGCCCTGCATTGCATTGTCAAGACTTGGTGACCCCAATTCATTAAAGCGGTCTTGTGAAAACTCTGTTAAGCATCACCCATACTTATCTTGACAATATAAGATCCATATTATTACCAAATCATGCATAGAAAGGTGCAGCTTTGAAGAAAAATGCAGCACCAATTAAACTCTCCATTGATTTTGGACTATACAACTCTAGTTCTATTTTCTGAAAACTAACGTAAACAAAACCATGGCATACACAGGAATCATGCAAAAAAATAAATAAATAAATAAAAAAATCGACTAGAGTAGAATCAAATCTAATAGGCAAGGGATTACCCTTCCATACTCCTAATGTCAGCCAGTGAAGCAAAGCATTCATAATGGTAACGGTTATGAGGATTAATTCAATAACTACTGGATATAAGTGTTCCTCTGCCTCTGCTGCATGACTCAGTTCTGTTGTTAAGCTAATAAAACTGCATAGACCATACCATACATTGATTTTCAAGTATCAAATACATGAATAAAATTTAGATGTATATCAATACAAGAAATCATATATCCCAACAGTGATCCGAAGAACCATATTGCCCCATTTAACACTCATTAACTTACATCATAGCAGGTCAACTGCTTGCCTCCCCTTAGCTTTAGGGAACTCATAGTACTATTGACAAGGAAGAACCTTCAGAGTATGTGTAGTTGTCGCAATACCATCAGAATAAGGAAAAAAATCACAAACTTCTTTTACAAAATTGATCCAGTGCATGTTAAATGAATACCAAATACATGAAGATATAGGACTCGTAATTGAACTGAAGATTTGTTAATTCAGCCAAAGCCTTTCAAAACAAATAAGCAAGCATGAAAGACCGCATCTTTATTAGATTTTTTCTCCACCCTTTAAGATAAAAAACTTTCTAACCAAAATTCACTTAGTAAAAGCCTTTTCCTAAAAGCCAGCCTTATAAGAAATCTAGCAGGTTGGAAAAAAATAAAAAGAAAAAAGAAAAAAGAGCAAAAAATCATAATTGTATTTGATTTTCAGCGTCGACAACTTAGTTTGCACCCAATGTACAGTACTGTATTGATGGACTAAGCCCAAGCATAGCAACTGAGGCTAAAAGTCACACAACCCTTTCAAACAATTTAATGTTAATTTTAGGCTGACTTAAAGAGACCCCATTTCAGATCTCATAACTAAAGTGAACTAAAGTACATGTTTTAGACGCTAACATGAAAGATTCTAACATAATTAATCAAGTAATGAGAGATCAATAAATAATTAATCAAGTAATGATTTTAATATGATATTCAATCTTGACTCTCCATATAAGTTTTTGGTCCCTCTGTAAGTTGATAACATCATTTTTACAACATGCATTTCCTCACTAAATCAGGCTTCCAATATAATCTCAGTAAGAAGTTTACAATTAAAAATTAGAGAAATCTTAATTCTAATCTTGGAGTTTCTATCACCAATGAGATGTGTGGTTAAGATTGAGTCAAACAACAAAAGTACTTGATTAATCCATCAATAACTGAAAAAGATATGGTGAATTCATTAAGCTCCCTGCAACTCTAAAGCAGTAGCAACAGAGTGAAGAATTTCTGCACTTAAAGGAAGCCTCAAATACGAATCCACAAAAATATATCAGCATTACAGCAGCACGACAATTTCTTACTCTCACAAGATCAATGCCACATACTGTAAACTGTGCCTGTAATTTGCCAAATTCAACCCGAAGCTTCTCTACTCTGTTTCTGCCATCTAGATTGTAACATGGGCCTGATTTAAATTCCAACACTGTATATTTGCACATGCTTGCTATCAATTCTGACGACTAGGCTGAATGTCAGTCAAGTACATGCTTCACAAGGGATCATGTATTTTCCTGGTGAAAATCTTCTTCAATGATGCTAAGTTTAAGAATTCTTTTTCTCATACAAGGCAAATAGAATGTTCTCAACATCACCAATGGAGAGCATGCCCTTTTTTTTACTATGTTCTCCATGGTTTGAAGATATTCTCTGACTTCTAATGTTCCACATATGATAGCCTCGAGCTCACTGACACAATTTCCCAAATTTTGTTGAATTAGGCAACCGATTTTGGGATGCTTATGTTGAACTTGTTTCAATTCTCTCAACATTTATAGCCAACTTATAGATGGTTGGGTGCATATAGAGTGCACTTGAAGGGGAAAAACTCACTAAACTAGACATCTTCTGACACAAATAATTAAACAGCTGAAGTGAATATGGTAATGAGCTGTATCAGAAAATAGTAATTGAATCAACCCAGACTTAGAAAAGCCTTAGTTTTGCTTCATTCCGGAAAAAACCGCAGATACTAGTCTTAGAACTGAATATAGCAGCAAGAGAAAATAACGATAATTATAACAATAATTAGCATATCAAGCTAATCCCATGTGAAATACATACAAAATAATAACAATTATTGTTGGTTTGTTACTAGAGAAGTAATAAAATATGGAAAAATAATTAATCAAGGTAATCGAACTCATCTTCCTTGAGATGGGCAAAGAACTTGACAGGTCCACGGCCTTCAACTTGTGTAACAAACTGGACCTTATAAGGCATATTGGCGGAGATTTTCTTTCCCTTAAAAACGGAAACGTTTTGCTTGAGCACGCCTTCCATACCATTGAGATCAACCTCGGGAACCCTAGGCACATGGTAGACCTTCAAAGGAACTTTCACTCGAACTTTAGCACCTATCTTAGCTTCCTCTTCAGATGGATTGCTCTCAAATCCTACGGTAGGAGTTGAATTGTTGGATTTAACAGCCACTTCACAACAGATCATCCAACCTTTTCTTCTCTTGCCATTCTCGTTATTATTGCACGCGGAAAGTGAAGAAACTGCAACGCATGAGGAGAAACATGCATTTGAAAGCGGGCGATTAATCAGCGAAGATGTCGCTGATGATACAGCCAAGGTTGTACTAGTCATGTTGTTTATTACCACCGTTTCTCTAATATCTATCTCTCTCTTCAATCAATCTTCTGCTCTTTTCTGAATTTTCAATTCAACCTCGACCGCTAACTCTGAACCTCAGCTAACATTACATTTACATGATGCAACGGACTTTCTTCTATACAGTGTTTACCATATTCACATTTTTAGTCTGTCCTACACGTGTCACATATCGTGAGGTTAAAAATGGAAACAATCTCAGTACTTTAAAAGATAATACTCTATTATATATTACATATAATCTGATATATGCTGTCATAAATATTACAACACAACAAAAGATAAATATCAGTTGGACAAAGATTTTCTATTATTATTTTGTTTCTTTATATTTAGTGGATGAGAAATGTGAGGCAGAAGATTCAACTTGTCACTCTCTACTCCAGGTTTTATGGATAACGAACAATTTGACATAAAATTCGACCAATACCAAGCCCAAGCCCAAGCCAACAGAGAAAGCACTAAGATTTCAATTATCTATTCTGTAGCAATTCCATGGATCAAGGCCCATCCCAAGTTAATGAATTGGGATTTAATTACATTGAAACTGCCCTTTCAACCAGAGAAAAAAAGAATTACCCAAACAAAAAACAATGTGAAAGACCATTTCCAATTCGAAGATGATTACTGGAGAAGTAGAAATTAAAATTTAAGGAAAAAAATATCACAAATTTCAATACATTGAACAGATCACACCCGGAAGCCAACAAGGGAGAATAGTACATCAGAGAAAGTTAAACGTAATAATAATGATAATAAAGAAAAAAAACAAATTAACAGCAAAAGAGATACAGATAACCGAACAAAAAATTTACAGGGACCTCAGCTATGTAAAGGCACAATGTAGAGGGAACTAAGAAAAATATTTAACAAGCTTTTTTCTTCATTTTTTTGTTTTTGTTTTTTGATCTTCTGGGGTTTTAAGGATACTCCGCATAGTCTCGAGTGAAAGATCATATATGTGCACAGAATTCGTCAAAGAATTCAAATCAAAGGCTCATTTTCATTTCTTCTGGCACAATCACAAACACTTTTTGTAGTTATACGTGATGGTTATAGGAGCGACCAATAAGTCTGCATTGGTCCGGAAGCAAAGAAGAGATGGCTTGTCCATTGAGTGGAAAAAACTCACCATCAATGCCACAACCATTGTGGGTGTGCTTTCCAGCCTTAATCTTCACTGATTTAACCTGTATTTGATTAAAAGTTGAGTTAGATGATATCAATACAACTAAATCCACTTATTAATCAGTGTGTAGGATATGGTAACATAATTACATCATTCAGGTCCGTAACAACGACTTAAATTGATGTTTATGGCAATTAAATGGACTCAATTTACTGTTTGATTGATTACTTATGTGCCTAATTGAGTCCCCCTTAACAGTAAAAGGTTGAAGGTTTCAGTTCAAACCTCCTTTGATACATAAGTAAAAGCCCCTCACTCAAAAAGTGAAAGCATCATCAGAGTAAAAGCTCATACCTTCACATATTCAACATATGGCAGTGAAAGATGCCGACCCAACTGCAGCAGCAAGAAAAATCTTATCAACCGAAGCCGCCCACTTCCATGAACTAAGAGCATATCCATGGTGTTGTCATCATGCTCTGCTTTTGGTGCTGCCACCTGAGAACTCTGCACAGTTCTACATGCATGGTTGCAAACCAGGATGCCAAGAAATTGCCCTTTAGTAACAATCCATTTATCATCGTACCTAGGCGTGACTTCCTTCTTTGTTCCTGCTTCTACATCATCTGAAGGTCCAGGCAATTCAATTGGATTTTCCACATCCCAATTAGGCTCTGTATCCCACTTAGGCTCTGTATCCCACTTAGGTTCAGCATCCCAAATTGGACCTGGATCAGATAGTGTTGAAGATATATCTTCTCTATCATTGGTTGCAGTATTTCCCCAAGAACATCTAGAGGGATCATGCGTGATGGTCAAACCAGTCCACCCCTTGTCTGTCCTAGACTTTGACCTCGTCCTTGGCCAATTTGGAGTTGTAGACAGTGGCATCTGAGGATGAATAACTTCCGGTTCTGCTGTTACATTGGTCCTTCCTGAGGACAGGCGTTTCGCTTTTGGATCCAGGCCACGTACATACTCTGATGGTTCAGTGCTAGCATGAGTGCTACTACATGTTGTATCTGGATCTCCGGCGGACATTCGGCTAGGGGTCATTATAGAATCAATACTTGATAAACTAGAGGCTCTGGGCATGCCATCTTTTGATTTCCTGGTAATGTCTGTGTACAGGTCTGACATGTCAACTGTTTCACGCTCTGCTGAGTGTTTCCTTTCTAGATCCTCTTTTGATGCAGGAAGATATTCCACTTCATAGTTGTATTTTGGCAGGCATAAGAACTTGAGGAATCCAGCAACAAAATAACGCAGAGGGCCAAAGTGTTTTTGATATTTCTCCGAAAGTTCCAACACTGCAAAAATTAGTTATGAACAAATCTCGATACATTTCACACTGGAGAAAAAGAAATATTTCAGACATATAAATTGTTGTCATTTACACTATCTTCTTCCAACCAAAAGCAATAATCAGAAGTCATTCAAAATGAGTAATAAAAGTTTTTATGATGACAACATTTTCATATACCTAGGCTGCAAAACAGTAATGCAATTACTAACAAATGGCACCAAAAATCATGCCCATATTGAAGACAAATAATGAGTGTTATCCATGACTACAGTATCAGCTTTTTTTTTTCTGTTTCTGAACACTCAAATGAGGATCAGTGTACCAAGGAATGTCGTACATAAGCAAGTACGGAGCAAGCATGTTGATTCAAGATATACCAGAGCTTACTTTGGCCTTACCAATTCTGGCCAATTGCAGTTAAACTTTAAATTATTAGATTACCAGGAAAAGTACAAGTTTTTAATTCCATCATGAACTGGATTGAAATGGAAACTCACAACAAACACCTGGCAATGGATGGTAGAATTTGTAAATCTCATGCCCACCAGTTAAATTATGAGTACTGTTGAGAAGCTATTTTATCTGAAATTTAATACATTAATCAGTGGTTATATTTGGCCCAAGTTGATTAATTTATTAAACCCCATTTCCAAGTATGCTCTACTATAAATTTTAAGAATACCTAACTATATAATCAACCCCATTAAATTCCAAAATAACCCTTGTTATTTTTGTTTTGCCCCCATCAAAATAATTTTCCAATCCTCATTTTCTAATTTCACTCTTTTTTTGGGTCTCAATGGGTCGTCCTTTCAACATGACACTCGGCAAGAAATGTAAGATTGAGGACAACATGATCTGATCTAATACAGAATGGAATATTGGTGAAATACCCAATTTGATGTCGAAAGTTCCTGCAACAGTATGTGGAACAGTGGTAGACTACAAACAACAGAAAAAACTTGTTATTTGGTCCTCTTTAGTAATTTTCAAAAAGGATAAAATTTTAATAAAATCAATCTTTAATCTTTTGTGTAACAAAAAGTACGTAGAGGGCAAGTAGCATCAGTCTACATTAATTTCTTTCATTTACTATCTTTCTTATAACATAAACGGAGTCAATCCTCAAAAAGTAGTTAGCTCTTGCCATACTCCTGCCTCTCCCTAGACCAGCAACAGTAGAAATCAAACAGTTCAATAACTTGCAGGCCACATGGTTAACATTCACCTAAAAAGATCATACATGAAACATACAATTGATGCACATCTCAAACTTTAAAGCCTTGGCCTCAACATTTTTCTTAAACTTTACTACAAAGCGACAGCCAATATGAGCATTCAAAAAACATGGAACAAAATCAACAAATTAAATCACCAAGCTATATCAGTTATCACTCTTTGGAATATGGAGCACCTAGTATACTAATTAATCATAATAAAAATCAAGATTTAGAAAGAACAAATAATAGGTTCATGACTTACCATCACTAACAAAACCATAATACGAGACTGTCATCCCATAGTGGATGACACCAGTATGAATCCACTCAACAGCAAAAACATCTGTGGCAGTAAGACCGCCCTGAAACCAACAACATTTCACTTGTGAGCATTTGATAGCCTAATCTGCATTAGAAGGAAGCTGAAACAAATGGCATAAATGAAAACAATAGAAATAAAAAGGTCTCATTAGATATTTGAAAAAAGAAAATTATTTTCAGTTGACAACCTGAAGTGAGTATATGATAAATAAAGGGTTGCATATGGTTTTCAGTGTATAACATCTTAACCATAGATGGTTGTTAAAAGGTACTAATTATAATAATATCAACAGTGAGTATTAAGAAATTACGGAAAATTCAGAAAGAGAGTTACCTTCACGATAGCTATTGCAGCAGAAATTGGATCTCTAACTCCCAAAACTGTCCAAATTAATGAATTGTCGGAACCAGCAGGAATGATTCCAATTGGTATAGAAATACCTTCTTTCTGGTTGTCTCGACTAAGTAGACCATTTAGAACCTGCACAGAAAGAAGGGGATTTTATTTAAAGACAGTTTGAAGTTGTAGATTATACTATAATGTTCTTATCAAGTCATAGCCAAGGAATACAACATCCTAAAACCAAAAGTTAGCAACTGAGCTACAAATAACCTAGAAAATCTTCATATGGTTCCTAAATTTCCACAAAACTAAAACTTGCACATGAGATAAGTGTATAAGAGGATTGAGAGAGACAGAGACAGAGTTGTCTGAAAATTTATCCCTTCAGCAGACAACTAGGTTAAAATTGTATTCGACCTGAAATTGTCGTCCCAAAAAAATTCATATTCTACTCAAAAAGACGTAAATGCACAGTTGACCCTCCAGACAGTTATTTTTGTCACTGCAATTGCATGCACAAAATGTTCCAAATCTTGGCCAATTAAAGCTTTACAATAGATGAAACTTTGTACCATTTTGAAGACTAAACCATGAGGCAAAACTTCATTTGTGAGTTGGTTACTTCTGGAAAGAATACTTGTATTCACAGCCTCAATGGAGAATCACTCCTCTCTACATTCAGAGAAGTGTTTGTATCAGTCAAACCTTTGTTGAAGATCATATAACTAACTAGACACCAGATGACAAT